TTGAATGATAGTCGCTGCCTTCTATCTGACGGGCTTTCTGGTTGCATCGTTACACTGGTAGGTATGCTCGTCTTCCCAGCGACAAAATGCTTGCTGCTGATTTCGCATGACTTAAAAGAGATGAAGTGTGAGGATTACGTACTGCGTGGTTTCTCAAAATGGTCTCGAACTTAGTCTGTTGCTCATCTCCTCTGACACAGTATCAGTGAGAACCATCTTCAACAACGTGCATGGTGTGGAGTCGGTAAGGATTTTAGACCAGAGTTGATGCAATGCTGATCGCTTCCCATACATCTCCTTCAACCCTGTGCAATTATGGTCGTCAGCCCGGAGCGGCTGCTACATGTAGATTAAGTGTATAACTCAGGAAGTGCGCAGAAGAAAACGCGCCTTCTTGATGTTGATCCCTGGTGGCACTTGGGGACCGGGGAATAGGCGGATGCGAAGCCTATGACGACTGTCGTCCGTATCCCGGGAGTTTCTACCGGGGAGCGGCTCGGAAAGCAAAGGAGCGTAAGCAACGTATGGAGGGGTTCAATAGTAAGAGGGACAAAAACTGAAAGCTCCAGTTTCTTCGAGTACCTGCTTTAGCTGCAACGTCAGTGCTGCATGAGCTCGAAGGTCAGCAAGTTTAAGCTGGGCGATTGTGTCATGCGGAATTTTCAAATGGCCAGCAGTAGCTATAACGGTGGAAATCCTGTGAGGTCGGCGTCACTGAAAGGAGTTTGACCTCGAGTTCACGTATGTAATGAAGAAGCCCACTGGGAAGCTGTGCACAGGAGAGAGGGACTCCTACTTCGATTAGTGTATATATTCCTTCCCAAATGCACGGGCTCACTGAGTAGATCACACGGCTTGGTGTCTCAGAGGCTCAGCGCGACAACACTACCATTCTTCTTCATTGACGCGATTTGCGCTTATCCGACATCAAGTAGTTCTCCTGTATTTGGTGCTGGGCTCATTCGGCTAAAATTACAACCAGATGGAAAACGCCCCTGCCTCTGCAGAAGCAATGGGGCAAATTCCAGCCTTCCAATCATTTCTGAACGTAGAAGCCGTTGAGTAAGACGGGTGATCGTCCCGCGGTTTAAGTTTTAAGGTCTCCTAGTGACTTGTTTGATAGTACTTTCTGAACTCATTTTGCCGTAATGTTGTAGCAGAAAGCGTACATCCCTTGTCATATCGCTTTGACGCGAGATGATCGTCCGAATTTAATATTCATCGGAACACTAAGCGAGGGTGCCAAGATAAGAGGAGTAATCTGGGGACGCTCTGCAATCAATGTCATCTATTGCAACAGGTCATGTATCGCATTTCGGTCGTCTGCGCCCTACCGCATGGTTGTCAAGGAAAACGGTATTTCTACGCACAAGAAGGTTAACTGGCCATATCCCCAGCATGACCATGCCGCGTCGAGTTGGAGGCGCTAGGCGACGTGCCAGAGTATTGCAGGGGCGAAATACTTTAGGAAGGTCTCAATGTGAAGTGACCACACGGCGTCCGTCAATGGGAGCGCCGACTGCGCCGCTCGTGCGTGGCGATGTCGAGTACCTCATTGTTTCGTCTAGCACCTAGACATCCGTATTGAACGGTAAGTGTCTGACTGGTCGTGATCGCTGGTTCGCTGGTGGTGCGGTCGATATTCTGCGGGGCCGTTGAGGTACGCCTGGGGCACTCAACCGGAGAGTCCATCCTGAGTTAGGGTTTAAATATCCTTTAACTCTAGTTTGTGGACTATGGCAACGCATCTTATGTGCTTCTGTCTATAGGTTATGCCACTCATGCAGCCCTCTTTGGGGTAGACAGTCAGACAGCTCCATACCGTCATCTCTCTCACGAGCCTTGAGGTAGCTTCATCCAGTCCGACGAGATTGACTGCGCCCGTCCATGTCCTTGAGCATGCAGCACTCCCCACCTATCCAACATCATCGCCGTCGACTACCCACCTATCATATCATGTCTAAGTCGGTTCTCTATGGCCTTTCATATAGAGATATCGGAGCCGGCTACCGATATGCCTTCGCTCTGCCAACATGGAACATGACCCTCTGGTATATAGCTTCAAGAGTTGTGCCACTGCTTCGTGCACATGAAACCCACTACTCTCCTTTCGTCACTGTCTATCTCATCCCATTCACCTCTTGCGACAGCCAAGGTGACATTTCTCAGTCAAGCAATTGAACCACGATGGAGCCTAATTACGCGACAGACTGTCGTTTCCTGGAGCCACCTCATTCACACGACCCGAGCAATATCTCTCACATAGCAGCACTCCCGGCGTCAATGCTTATTCAACTTCCCGAAGCTGTGCAGGACGCTCTATGGGCACTTCAAGAATCAACATCTTATTGTCTACGCCTCCTATCTTAGGCTAGAAGCCCTCTTTCAAGAGCGATTTGAGTGGTTAACACCACTTTCAGGCCCGCCTGAATCATGTGAGTTTGAGTTTATCTATTTTCATTTGGGTCAGCACTCTCGCTGAAAGCCTACACTCCTATATACCTACTACAATGACATCAGATCTAAACCTTGCTCTACAAGCCATATCGAACACAAGGCTAAACTTAATGCATAATAAGATTCCGAACCCTCCTTCTTCAACTATATCAATGCCCTGTCCGCCGAACGGTCGTACATCGTCCACGACGCTCACCCAGACTGGAAACACAAGACCCGACAGGCAGGTATTCTCAACCCGATCTCCCCGTACGCCAATCTCCATTTCACATATCGCGGCGGAACCATCACTGTCGGCCAATGGATGCAACGACTCTCAGCCGCAGAATCCCTATGGGTTGACACCGCACGAGCAGTTGAGCTCCCGGACTTTGATGTAACCATCAGGGAGTACCAGAGTCTCAGCGACAGTGACAGCGCTAGTTTCACGTCTCGTGAATCTTCTGTCTCGGATGAAGGATGGGATGGCACTCCTCATGTGGGTGTGATGTGAAGGGCGCCTATTGTCCTGGATTCTTGAGTTGAAATGTGAAGGTGCTCTGTATAAAAGGGCCGTGAAGACCATTTACTCGGCCGGTGGGGTCTTGACAATCGTCATGCCGTAGTTCTAGGCAGGTGTGGACTGGACAGCGCCCGATGTGGACAACGATGAAGACACTATTAGATACGGGGATGCCAGGGACGGCAACGTTGGACAAGATGTTCTTTCGCCAGTCGTGTTCCGAGAGCGAGCGGCCAGGTTAAACGATCAACGCGGGACGGGAGTATATAAATGTCAGAACCATCGAAATCTCAAGGTGACATTGTTTGGACCATTGGCCATGCGAGCCTATTTCTTGCGTTCAATATGTAGCCCCTTTTCCTCCCCGAGAGTTTTTGGCTCATGTCCGCCTTTTCCACTGCCACCTGCTGGTAATCCTCTGCTTCCACCTCCACTGTGAACGTCATCATGAACTTCGTTCAGACCTTCGGGCAGAGGCGCTGTTTTTCCGGCTCTCCGGATCTCTTCTTCGGATGTGGGCTGTTCAGGGAGATGTGTTAACTCAATGTGAATAAAGACCGACCAGATCGCGTGAGGTCACACACCTTTCCATCTCCTCCGTGGATGATATCCTTTCCATTCTCAATGGCGTTGTCGGATTGAGGCGGCTCGCCAGCGTACTCAGCTCCTCGAGGCATGTTTGTAGTGAGTGGATGCGTGGGGTAGAGTTGTGTCAAAGGTAGAATGGGGTTTGCGTTTGTTCTTTCTGAATGCTCCTGAAACGAGATGCTTTCAGCAGGTGGAAGGGGCAGAAGTGGGATATACCAGTATGGGGCGCAGCCGTATCGTCCATAACGTCACACCTCTGGAAGCATCCGTGGACCTGAAGAAACAATACGACCGCTCCTTTCCGTAGACGGATCCTACCTATAACAAGTGCGACCTACGTCAAAATGAAGTCACGTCTGCGGGGTACCAACCTGAGAGTATCTGGTACTCCTACAGCGGGACGAGCCATGCTGCGAGCAAAAATCTTGGCAGAGAACACTGAGTGTAGCACGCAGCATCCGTTGACGATGGCAGACGGTAGTAGTTCAGATGGTTCGGAATATTGGGCGAGTTGCATTCTGGCGAGGTTGCGCAATAACACACCCACCTCACGAAAAATGTCTATGACGATCGGAGCATATATCCGGGCGCGGTTTGATACAAAAACTGCGGACAGTGCATTATAAGCCGGCGACCAGAGGTTGTTCGATTGACGGGTCGGGTAGAGGTTCACGGTTCCAGAGTTCAAAGGGCGAACAATAGGCTTAGGTTATACCTTCTGAAACCCAAGGTAACCAATCTGCAGCTCGCGATGGAGCTTTTGAGACCGCTTCCAACAGTATTGAAGTCATGGTCCACTTGCTGGCAGGGATGTCACCGTCCGAGGATCGGATATCAAAGTTGTGGGGAATCTCGTAACTGATACCCGAGGTATCGTTGTAAAGGAAGAGATGTCAGACAAGGCCATCTAGATAGCGCTCAATTTCTCTCAAAGGACAATCGAGCACATGTTAGAACTCGGCAACTACTGATCGTGCAAGGAAGTAGATCTAGATCCCACGCAAAGTTTGCCCTTAAGTTGAGACCGACCGAGAAGTCAGTGAGAGGAAAGTGTGAAGCAAGTGGAACTGATTAAAGCGGTGCGCTAGGGAAAGTATCGTCGCTATTGCACGGCGAAACGAAAGCCGTAGAGTGCGGCGTGTTCTTACCACGAAGGAACTGGCATTTCTGATGCGAAAGGGAATCGAGCATCCTGCATCATTGTTCCTTTGTTTCTTGAATATGGCTTGACAAGCTACGCAAGAACAGGAGCAGCATCAGCATCGATCATGTATAATGTTCTGACCATTCACTGCAGATACTATAGCCAGTTTCAGCTTTAGTCAGAAATCATGATCCTAACCACAGATTGCCATACTGTCCCTGTCTTTCCCGGCAAAGACAATGCATGACAAGGCTTTCAGCTTGTTTATCGATAGGATGAGAGCAAGGATGTCGCGGCAATCTGGGTGTTTCATGCGCTTTCCGCAAAGATGCTCGATATTATTTCATCAAACTTCTGATCAGCTCTGAATGTAACGTCCGTACCCCCAGCGTGTGAACATCCTGTCGCATTCCACGACCAGAATTGGTGCACCTTAGGGGATGATCTGAGATCTGAGATCCAACGCATGCTAATTGACTGGCCCAGAAAAGCGATTTGCAACTTTTGCACGGCCTCCCCGGACTCGTACCTAGTCAATTCACCGTTATATGGACTTGAAACCGACCACACTGCGGCCTGAGGTTGCGTATTTTCGGAGGCAAGTTGCTTCGCACGAGTTACCAAGCCAAGGAGGAGTATCCTTCGAATGAAGACGGTCGTTGATTCCAACGTCTCGTGCTGCGACTTTGGAACCGACGAAAAGCCAAAGTCAATTTCTGAAGTCTCATATCGTGTCCCAAATAAAGGGGGCCCCAAGAACGTTGCAATGCCGACATCTAGTTGAGCAAAGTCTCCCAAGCTGAGTTTCAAGGCAGTTTTGGCGGGTAGCAGAAGACTAGGCAAAATGGAGGAGGATGTTTCAGTCTTCAAGGACTCGAAGACTGTGTCAGTGGCTTGACCGGGACTCATCTCGGCGGGCAAGCCAGCTTTGGTTAAGACATGGACAATCTTGTGGCACTCCGACATCAACGCGTCCACTGCCGCTTTGTGTCGTAAGTGTGCAAGGATAGGACGAAGGAGGGCATACTCCGGAGTCGGCCGTGGCTTAGCTACCATGACAGGCGGTCGTTGCGATCTCCTTGCTAGGTTCTGTTGGTGGGCTGCGGCGAGCAGAAGTCGTAGGGACATTCCAAGGAACTGCGCAATGTCCTCATCTTCCGCGTCCAGGGCTCCTGTCTTCTTTTGCCCATCGTCAAGGGTCAACCGTATTTGGAGTTGAGAGCCCACAGCAATTTCGACTGACTGTGCACGTCGGACAACTCCTTGATTGGCCATCAGACGAGCTTCTCGGGTAATCTCGTGAAACAACTCTTGGTCAAACAATGAATCACGAGCTTCGGTAATCTGCGCTTCGATTGAGGCGGAATCTCCATGAGTGATGGGCTGGGGCAAGAAAGCACCTGTAATGTGGCCCTTTCGAACTATATAAACTGCAAGCCGCCCCTGTCGGGTTGATTTGGCATGAGTGTCAAGATAGATGGACCCGTCGTCAGCCTGTCGTAGAAGGCCAAAACCCCGGTCACGGAATTGTGGTGCAGCTTCTGAGAAGCCAAAATGAACGCCGATAGCCTTGTTATCTCGAGGCAGTCTGCTAACTGGCCACCCTCGGGCCTTTAGATCAGCGACCTGTGCCCAGTAAGTAGATTCGCGGTCACTATCAGCTCCCAGAGCGGCTGAGGCCGATGCCAGTTTTTGTGAGGCGGCCTTGAAACCTTCACATCTCCAACCCTGAGAGACCAAGTTAAGTTGTTTTCGGGCGGATGCCGAAGGCGGTTTGGGCTGGATCAGGTGGCTAGCAAGCGTACCAATTGGTACTGCCTCTTTTAGGGCCGGCGACATGGACGTCTGAGCCGGGGTAGATTGTTTGGAGATCAGCAAAGATACAAAGTCAAGTGCGCATAAGATCTCATTCTGAGCATAACTAGGATTGGTCAGTCGCGTGTTTGCAGGTTGGGCAAGCTTGATCATACTTTAGTTGGCCCATCATCTGCTCCCGGGATTTCCAAATACGCTCTTGTCGAGCCTGAGGTGATTCATCCTCCTTCGCTTGGTCGTCCTTTTGGAGAGAATCTGTGACAAGCTTGGACTCTGCCTGACCATCGATTTCGGCACGGAGAGATTTTTCGGTCACTTTGTGGAAATGACCTTTCTGAGCTATCACCTGCTGAATCTGCGTCTGTAGCGTTGGTGACGTGGAGGCAGGGAGTGGAGGAATGGGGAGATTGATGGTCCTTGACTCGGACATCTTGATCGAGACACTTTGATCGAGGTCTGGCGGTTTTTGGGCGTCGGCTGTGGCAGACAAGATGAGAATGGATTATGTCATGGTCTCTGAACAGGGCATAGTCCAAGGTAAAGATGGCGAGTGTGGGTGATCAGAAATGTGGTTGACATACAATACATTCAACGTGTTGAATTGGAGAACGCGAGGACGAAATGATATCACGTGGTCTGGACTGAAGTGAATGCCTTGGCAACTGGAAAAAGTCTTGGCGGGCCGCTTTTATGGACAGCGGGGGGAAGATGCACTTAAAATCAACCAGCGCCCCACCAGTTGCTTTATTTTTCTTGGATCGCAGCCTGACTGGCCCTCTTGTCGTTCCCATTCACGCCATGCTGTACGGAGTACTGCAAATGCGAGTGGGACTGACGAGATGCTAGCAAGAATGAGCCAAAAATACTAGTCTGGAGATAGAAATAATCCCAAGCGGCAGCGCATTTTTATTAGTTAAGTCCCTACAGTGAGTCCACACGAGGTTCAACGACTTGAGACAGCGTCACTATATCTTCTTATAACTGGATGCTTATAGCAGCTCTAGAAATATTGGCTCCATATAGTGGATACGGCGCCAGTCACATCCGCTCCTCCCCCGTTTAAGGTCGCACCTTACCCTGTTCTGCTTATTTGGACCAAAGATTTCATCTCAGCACAAACCAAGCACTGAGGTACCTTAGTCTGTGACACTTTCCTGAGCCTGCATCTGCAGGGTGCGCTACGGCACATCCTCAAACTTGAGACCTGCTAACATTCCAAACCTATCGCGGTTCCAAGTGTACCAACCACCCTTCGATCTCGGCCTCGAACTCGACCTCGCTTGATTTGATCCCTTGGTCCAACTGCCCAAACCACCAAAAAGTCCATCACTTCAGCCACCCTGGCGCCTCATCCCATTCAAGTCCTCTCACCATGTCTCTGTAAGATCGCTTGTTCAAGTCAAGCATATTGACCAACAATCCTCCCTAATCTGGCCCTCGTTCATTCTTTCGTGCCCACGACCCCCTCATTCCTCCATCCCACTTCATGACCGACCTCGCCATGACCTCCCTCAAGTTCTCAACCACCGACAAAACCCGCACCTATAGCACCTCGACTTCCTTCAACATCACCGTCCTCATTTCCGGCTCAGGCACAAATCTGCAAGCTCTCATCGACGCCTGTGGTCAGGCCCCTTCTACCAGCAACAAGCCTGCCCCCAAAAAGACCTTGGCTCACGGAGAAATCACCCACGTCATTTCCAACCGCCGTGAAGCAAAGGGAATTGAACGAGCTCAAAAAGCCCACATCCCCGTCACCTACCACAACCTGGTTGCGTACAAGAAGAAACACCCAGCCACCCCTGAAGGTGTCGAAGCTGCCCGAGTTCAATATGACGTGGACCTGGCGCAAAAGATCCTAACCCATATCCCCTCCCCCGACTTGGTCATCTGTGCCGGATGGATGCATATTCTATCTCACGGATTCGTCGACGCCTTGCAGAGGGCAAACGTCAAAATCATCAACCTCCATCCTGCCCTGCCAGGTCAGTTTGACGGCTCCAACGCGATTGGCAGAGCATTCGATGCTTTTCAACAAGGCAAAATCACAAAGACGGGCGTCATGATCCATGAAGTCATCACACAGGTTGATGCAGGGCGGCCTATCCTCGTGCGCGATGTCGAGATTCGCAAAGAGGATACGTTGGAAGACCTTGAGGAGCGCATACATCAAACTGAATGGGGTTTAATTGTCGAAGCCACTGAAAAGGTTCTCCAACTACTGGAACAGGATCGAAGAGGTTCGCGATAGTATCCAAAGTGCCTTTCGGCTGGCCGTTTGTTGTTTGATCTGACTACGGGTCCCCTTCCGCCCCCATAGACGGTCCTTCAGGCACAGATGGCGGTGCCATGGCCTGGTCTTTCACGTGTCGCTTCAGATGGATGAATTTTCCGGTTGATTACTGAAAGACTTAGCCTTGCCGCAACCCACCAAGGAGACGATTTTCTTTCTCACGGCCTTTATTCTCAAGATCGGCAGGTTCCACATAGGGTCATGACAGAGCCCCCACAGTACCTACCTCGGCAGCTACAAAAGGCAGACAGACACCTTAGCATGGCAAGAGGAGGGTTACAAGAAATCCAGAAGGCGTCACTTGGTCACCACCAAAAGGTATCACCTGGTACTTGCAAAGAATCATATTAGATCATGCCGTGCTCCCATGGCAAAGGGTGGTCATCATGTTGACGATGAGAAACGAGATCAAAGTCTACAGGCAGACTTTGCGTAGGTAGATAACAAATCCGTCATATTTCCCGCCAATCCAATCATAATCATACGTGTCATGCCTGATGCATTTTGAAATATCATTTCTCTAGAGACGTCTACCTCAGCTGCAGTAGAGAAACCTCTAACACAAATCATACATTACTCTTAAACACTGGGTATCTTGCATCCAACCAACGCCGAGCTCGCAGTGTGCAACAGTCACACAACCCCCAGCCCACAATAGTGGCTGCACTTATTAGAAAAAACAACATCTTTCCAGAGGACGTGACAGACGCGTCGAGTAAGATGACTAACTCGCTTTGGTGCCGTCATTGACATTGTCATCGGCCTTTGCCACTGGTGAGGGCCCATTGAGCGGATCATGTTTTTCCTCCTTCTCATTTAGCTCCTTGTTGGTCACGTTCGCACTGCCACCACTCTCAGGGGCGTCACTCGGTCCGTCTTTGGTCGCATCGTAATGGAAATCATCTTGGCCGTGGCCCATGTACTTGTGCATCTCGCGCTTGTACCGGTGCTCGCGGCCTTCTTCCCCTCTTGCCCGGGCATCCAGCTCCTCCTCGTCGCTGCTGCTGATTGAGCTCAGACTGCTGTTTTGCATGTACGTGATCTGCTTGCCCGCCTCTTTCTTGCGCTGTCGTTGCTCGTCCTTGAGTTTCTTCATCTTGGCTTCATCGCCTTGGCAGTCCAGCGTGTGTACTTTCAAGCCCGGGAATGCGTGAATCAGATATTTTCGAAGCATGTCCAGTTTCTCCGCATTCGGCCGATATGTCCCGCTGTCATTGTCGATGATCAGTTCGTAGTGCGAAGGGTCTGTGGACGATGAAGAAGATGGCGATTGCGGTGACGCTGTTGAGGATTGAATAGGAATCGATTCGGACGACGACCTCTTCCCTTGAACAGCGATACCGGGTCGATTCTGGTGGGAGATGTCGCTGTGGGATTGATCGGGGCTGCTACTGCTATTCTTCTCTCGGAGCTCGTTCTTGTCCCCGTTCTTGTCCTCGTTCTTGTCCTTTTGCTCGGCTTCAGCTCCTGGATCGTCCGAAGGGGGTAATGCATGTTGTAATGGATCAGGACCGCTGTGTTCTCGATGTGCTTGTGGATGCTTCAACTTTCGGATGAAGAATTCACCACTAAAGGCAATGTAGATGCTCACATCACTGTGCATAGTATGCTTGCTCAACAGGTCGATGCCGAATTCCTTGCCAGTTTCGGTGAAGCGAAACTGAGCATCCAGAGTAAGGACGTAGGTGAAGATGCGACCTCCTTGGTCGTAATGGACAAATTCGAGGAACTTTTTGGTCAAATCAATGCATGGCTCTTGAAAGACGCCATACTTTGTGCTCTTGTCAAAGTTGTAAACGCGAGCGTGCTGGTGGTGGAGCGCTCGGTTCAGTAGTCTGCCACGCAGGCTCTTGCTCTGGAACATTCCCTGGACGAAAGGTTTGAACTCGACATAGCGGTGATAGAGGTCTGCAGGCACGGGGCCGGCGAGTTGCATTTGTATTGATTGAAAGCTAGGATTCGTCAGTAGAAGAGAGGGAAGTGCAAGGCGAACACATACTTGTATCTCAGAGTCTCTTTGCCATCTTTGCCTTGCTCTGACTCCTTGGTGCCGGCAAGACGACCGATCAAAGGCGAGTAATGTTGACTCCAGGGGAGCGGCGCGATTGTATAGGCGCGTCCGCCATTGTCATCCTTTGTACGACCCAGGTTTTGAACGCTGACTATTAGATCACCACTCATTTTAACGCGCTTAGACAGAAGAGCAGCGCATCCACGGAAGGTGTAGGCTCGTTTGCTGGCCATGCGCTTCTTCAAGGGGAATTTTTCATGGGAGAAGCCCTTCCAGTTGTCATCAATGCTGTTAACGACAACATGGGCATTTCCCAGCCGGTCATCGTGGTCATTAGGATCCTCGTCGTAGAGGCGGCATTTCAGGAAGAAGCCCGAGGCGGGAACATTCGCAACGACCCAGTCGACCTCCCATTCGGGGTTGGTATTGCGATGAATGGTAGGAGTCCTCAGCCTGAGTTCAGGATCTTGCTTGTGTCTCTTGGGCAGGTCGATCTTGAGCGCGGCGAGGATATAGGGATCCGACGAGAAGGTTCCAAAATCGGCAAAAGGGAGGTTCTCAGCCTTGTGGAAGGTGATCTTGATGGTATAACCCGGAGGCGCTTTTGGGATCGGGGTCGAGTCATAGCCACCAGCAGGGGCCTTCTTATCAGATTTGGGTTTCCCTTGCAGTTTGTCTGTCTGCTGGGCAAGTTGAGAGGCGAGTTGGTCGATGGGTTGCAACGGTTTGTTGCGGAAGGCGGGACCATCTGAATCATTATTTGCCTGGGAGGCCATAGCTAGGCGAGGAAGCAAGTCACTGTGGAGCGGAGTGGTTCGAGGTCGCGGGGGACCAACAGTCAACTCAAGATGTTGATCAACACGGTGGCATTGTCGCGGAAGGTGGTAGATCTAGCAAGGTCGAGCCAGATAGAGGACAAGCAGTTGTACAGCAGTAGCAATGAAGGAGAGATTGGAGGTATCAGCAGCGATGGACTTCCCAGCAGGAATTGAGTGTGAGGAATGCAACCATCTTCCTTCTTAGTCCAAGTTCGATCTGAGAAGAACGAGTAGCCCATGCATTCGCCCGGAGGAGGACGTGTTGGTGGAGTGGGAAATCAGTGCCTTGAGGCGGTTGGTCGCCCTTGGAGTGCTTCGGTTAGGGTGCCGAACCAGAAAGCTTAGTGGGCATGGAGTAAGCCTAGGGGGGCGATCAAAGAGTGGACAATGGAGATTGGGGGGAGGAACAATCGGTGTCCAATTTACCATTATCGGGTGGTCGTGGGTGGTCGTGGGTGGTCTGGGTGCTGTCAATAATGGTTCTTTTTCCAGTGTCCAGGCTGCCAGGCTTGTTGATCTTCCAGTCCAGGTGGGAAGTAAAACTTGTGGGGAATGACGCGGGCTGGACCCACAAGCTGACGACGCCCATGCAGCTAACCTCAGGTGCGCCCTCGTGCCCCTGTACTCCATACTCCCAGAACACGACATCGCATACGAGGACTCGTAAAGGTACATACTTGTGGAAGTTGTGGTGCTCTCAGACTGGCTCAAATCAAGCCAGCCGAAGCTCAGGTAGCGTCATCTGCTTATTCCGTAGATCGCTTTTCCTTCGTATGAGTCTGAAAATGAGATCACCTTCCTCGGCAAAGAATGTGCTTAATTTGGAAATTACTGAACTCGAACGCCGCTTCCTAAAGCACCATGGCGCAACTGCACATATATTTTAGAAATAAGTTGAACACCTGCCTCCCTGAGGTACCTTGGGTCCTTAGGAAGGTGCCCGTGGGTGCCAACTTGGAAGCTTGTTGAGCCCACTAAACCCATCAAGGCTTGTTCCGCTCTGGCAAGATCGATTGCACCACCATCGGCACTTTCCTACCTAACTTGTAAACACCTACTCCGTAGATCCAATCTCATCAAAGAATGCCCCAGGCAACCAAAACATCTGACATCACTTTCTCATTCTTTTATTGTACATCAATAATGTACTCTACTGTAGGTATGTAGAGGGAGGTACCTACGCCTCTCTATCATCTGTCTCATTTTCCACTCCGACTCATCTCAATGTCGCCTTGGTCTTGCAGTATCTCACAAATTGTCGTCCATCATCATTTCGCACACAAAAAACTCCGGTCCGTCGCTGATGCAGTCCTTGCAATTCAAACAAACCTTACATGCCCAACTCAGAGAAAAGCCACACAAAATTCACATCAACCCCTTCACTCCTCGTCAAGGAGCCTCCGTAGGAGGTCGGATCCCGCTCCTTGCAACCCGTCTCTCATTTCTTTCTCAGTGATTGCGCAGACAATTTGCTTGTCGTCGCTGATCTTTCCATTGCGCGACGGCGTGTTTGATGGTGTCATTACACCCGAAAGTCGCCCCGATGCCTCGTGTACCAGACCTAGCGTTTCCAGACTGGCAACCACATCGCGAAACTCGGTGTTCTTCAAAGGCTGCAACAGACCCTCATCTCGTCTGCACAATTTCCCGTATGTCTCGAATAGCTCCTTGACTGTGGCAATTCTCGACCATGACTTTGATGGCGTTTTGAATGGATCACGTTTGTTGTTTCGATTTTCCGAAGCCACCAATGAGCACAACACTGCTTTTTGCTGCAGGTTCAATCCATTCAGCCGCGAGATGGCGCTGTTGTTGAAAAAGTTGGCCGCAATCTTGGCCACATGTGCAATCGTGACTCGAGGCGCGGTCTCCATGTTCATTTGTGTAAGCAGGTTCCGCTCGTTGCTTTTGCTTGCTTCCATATTCGCCCTTGGATTGCGAATCTCGCCCAAAGGCTGCTTGGTTGGTGTCACACTTGATTCTCCATTCATCTTCAGAATGGTCTCCTGTTCCACTCGATTAATGGCTTGACGCACCAGACTGAAAGCTTTGCGGAGATCCCCTGTTTGAGACGCAATTTTTTTCCCACTGAGCTGGATAGCTGCCGGATGCATCAGTGGCACAAAATCCGATGTCGCACAGACTTCAACTGACAGGAGAGATCGCAGCTTCGTTGAGATGATGCTGGAGATCTGCTGTGCTGAATATGGTAGGAAAGGTAGAAGTTCTGGTTGCATGTTCTTCAGTTTCAGCCGTGGCAGAAACCGGTCGGTCAAGTCCAGAGCGTTGGCAATTCCGATCAGCACAAGTGACGATGAAGGATGCATCGCCCACTCAAAGATGTTATACAGGAGCTCACAATCACTGCTGACAAGTGCGTCGATCTCGTCCATCAGAACAACACTCATCGTCTTATTCGGTCCTTCGCTGGTGAAGAGCCTACTGAGGCTTGTCTTTGCTGTCTGGCGACCGCTGGACGACATGCAAAACTCCTCACAGAACTTGGCCAACACATCGCTCGAGGTCTTCATTGCCACGCAGTTGATTGTCACAACCTTGACACACTGGTCCTGAAACACTTCTAGAACTTCGTGCACTAGCGCACTCTTGCCTGTCCCAGGAGGGCCGCTGACATATGTGCAACCGCCCCTCTGACTTTCTATTGCCTTGGAGATGAATTTGCTCAATTGGTCTCGTTCTGCCTCGCGGCCGATGATCTTGGAGCTTCCAGATTGGGTAAATAGTTGCCGTCCTCTGGAGTAGACATTTTGTGGTCGGTCAGAAGTTTTCGATGGGGTAGTTCTCGGGGTTAAAAGGCGACCAGTCAACCGGACACGATGCTTCGGGGTACTTGGGGATGTGGATGCAAAGACGTCCTTGAAGCGTGAAGTTGTTGGAGTTGCAACAATAGATGGCGAAGCGTTCTCGTCTGATGCTCGAAGGCGTTAATTATGGGACTTGGTTTCAGTCGAAATTCACATACCTGACACCTCTGAGGACTGCTCGGGCACTTCATCTACCGATAGCAGAAGTTGTCCATGTTTGGGGGCGGTCGTGCTTGTCGTTGCCTTTTCTGTTCGTCTGACGGAGCGAATTGATCTCGACGGTCTTCCAGCCTTGGCTTCGGCTTTATGCGATTCGATCTGTAGAACGCTGTCCTCGTAGATTTTTGGGGCTGACCGTCGCGTCTGTCTTTTAGGTGAAGGAGGCTGTATGGAGAGATCTATAAGTCGAAAGTCAGTCAATGCCCTCGCAACAGAACCATTTGCGAAGTCGGTACATGCCTTGTTCATCCAGAAGTCTTCGAGATCTCTTTCCCAGCACTGCAGCAGCCATTGGGAAGTATGGGAATGGCAGTTGTTGCTGCTTTTGCTCTCGATTGTTCGAGTTGGAGAAACAGAGGAAGGCACGACTCAGGTAGAGGAAAGCGCGAGTCAGGTCGTTCTTTCCTTGCTTCCTTGCCAAGAGTACGCGTTCCTGTTTGAACGCGACCGACCCGCGCTCCAGCCACCTGCAGCCACTATATGTCCCCACTCGACGCGGCTACAAGCGCCAGCACTTGAAGATACTATGCTTCACCCAAGTCATGAGCCCCTGGTCAAGCGCCGCGGCAAAGGACTCTGTCTTGGCAAGTTTGCATCTTGGGCATGGGGAATCGCGACTTCTGCCGCGTGAGTGCAGCGAGCGGGCCTGGTACCTGCCAATGACGAAACTCAATTGGGGCCTTTTCAAATGGCCAGTGACTGATATTGAAATCGTTTGTTTGCTGCTTCTCCCATCTGCCTCTTCTCATTATCAACCAGACACATTCTCTCTCACCGTCTCGTCTTCCCAACCCAGAAAGTATTTGACCACGATATTACTCCCAATTCGTGCACCTCCATATCGTCTACCCTAAACCTCTGATCCTCCCTCGACGATTCCTTCACTTCATCGATCTGATCCCATTGGGAGCATCACCTTGCACATCTTCTTCTCGATGGATGAAGCAATTGCCACATTGATCTCAGTTGCCGGTGCCACTCCAGAGCTAGCGGCGCAATATGCGCAGTTAGCAGATGGTGATGCTAACCAGGCAGTACAGCTCTGGTTTGAGAATGGTGGCGTGGACTTGTCCGGAGGAAACATTACATCGCAACCCCCTCCTCAAACAACCTCAAATCAAGCCGGCAGCCCCTCACACCCTATAGCCCTCGATGATGACGATGATAGTGCAGGTGACGCCAATGACCCTGTAGTCACTGGTGTCAATACCTCTACAAGACCAAACGAGCCACCACACTCCTCAGCACCTGTTGACTTTGAAGATGACGAAGCAATGGCGCGACGTCTGCAAGAAGAAATGTATGGAGAGGGGGCCACTCAAGAACCACGAGCTCCAATCGCTCGCCAGGCAGAGACGTTAGTTGGTCCTGGATCAGACCCATTTTCCATGCGTGGGATGGGGTATGAAGATGCAGTGCAAGAGCGACTTCGAGGTTTCCAGACACGACGTACTCAGCGATGTAAGTATTAGTCTCATACCTAGAAATTATGCTGACCATTCCAAGCGAATGTCCCAGGCATTTTTAATCAGCACCAGCCCTCCAGTATTTGGGAACGAGACAGTATCGATAACTCTCAGATTCTCGCCGAGTCGACCGGAGGCGAGTCCGAATCGACGACAAGAACGAACCGGCTGGCAAGACTATTTCAACCGCCGTGGGATTTGATGTTCAAAGGCGAGTGGGAAGATGCCAGAGACGAGGGCAAAGAGCATAAGAAATGGCTCCTGGTGGATATTCAAAACAACAGAGTCTTTGACTGTCAAGCATTGAACCGTGATCTGTGGAAGAACGAGGGAATTGTGGAGACGGTCAAGGAGAACTTTGTCTTCTTGCAATACAACAAGGATGACCCGAGGGCCAGCCAATACATTCAATATTACTTTCAGGGCTATGAAAACGAGGACGAATACCCACACGTTGCTATTGTGGACCCAAGAACTGGTGAGCAAATCAAGTTGTGGTCTCGCAAAGTCCCTTCCCCAGCAGAATTCTTGATGCAACTGCACGAATTCTTGGACCGATACAGTCTCGACAACAGCGCGCGGAATCCGGTGGCCAAGCGAAAGTCTGAAATCAAGAAGGAGAAACCTATCGATCAATTGTCGGAAGAAGAAATGTTGGAGAGAGCCTTACAAGCTAGTCTAGCGGGGGCTTCTCAAGACTTTGGGGGAGCCGCTCAGGCCAAGCAAGCACCAGCAGAAGACCCCGATGACTTGACGCGAAGCATCGGCGATGTGAGGAAGGAAGCCATGGCTAACTCAGAGAGCATGGACATTGACAGCAGCACTGCACCAACAGAACTACAAGAGACAAGTGCATTTTCGCAAATTCCAAGCACCAACCCGCATATCGAACCTGCCCAAGGTCCAGGTGTGACACGAGTTCAGATCAGGCACCCAGGAGGCAGGGTGGTGCGACGATTTACAGAAACCGACGCTGTTCAACGAATATATGAATTCTTGAAGGCAGAACCGCTGGAAGGTCGAGAAGGCGCCGACTTTGAGCTGATTTCAATGGGGAAGAATCTCATCGACGACCGGAACTCGACTATTGCTGAAGCTGGGTTGAAGAATGGGACCGTAATGGTGGAGTTCATTGAATGAGGCTGGAGCATGGTCGAGCTACGTGGTCCTATGTCATGATGCATTGCAGCGGCGTTCCCATGCAACTCAGGTAGCATACCCAAGATTAGACGAAACGTGCCATACCATGATGTGGCACGAGACAGCCCAAGTTGCAACATGGTACGAGAGATGTGACTCACGGAATAATGAAAGAAATAATCATGACTATTGCTGCAAGTGTCAGAAAAGAGCCCATTGCCAGTGTTGATTGGTTGCAAGTGACAGTGAGAACAGGGTGGTGTCGATGGTGTTAAGAGACTCATATATGTGGAAGTCTGTTCGACCAATCGGAGTGCCGGTGGCAGTGGGTGGAAGCAGCCACATGCGGCAAGGAGTAAACACTCTATTTCCGCTGCAGGAACCCGTCACCTTGACTTGGTCGACAACCACAACCACTAACACTCATTCATCACTTTGACACGTCCACACACTTCTGCTAATCATTCTCACGTCTTTCACTTGTTGGTGGCGATTGGATCTATCCTCAGATCATTCATATTCTACGACTTACGATCTAAACGCGACCAACGCCCATCAACGCGATTCCCATCTCGCATTACCCTCACTCACTCCTCTGCCACCCGCACAACATCTTATATCGAGTGGCGCATTCCTTAAACCCGGCAAGACGGTGGTGCCTGCCCAATGCAACGACAATCAACTCATAAAGTAGAACGCCATTACCCTTGATCGTTTAGCCCCCGTCGTCTCCTTTGGCCATCACCCAGATCCTGCCCATATCTCCCAGCAAGGGGTGTGTCGTCGATAATGGATCCCGAACAACTATATACCAAACAGAATTGCATAGGAGGTGGAAGTTTCGGCAAAGTCTACAAGGGTGTCGACAAAAGGACTGGTCAGGCAGTCGCCATCAAAATCATCGATGTGGAAAATGCTGAAGATGAGGTTGAAGACATCATTCAAGAGATCTCCATTTTGTCCGAACTCCAGTCTCCTTATGTCACAAAATACCATGGCTCTTTTTTGAAAGGCTCTGATCTGTGGATCATCATGGAGTTCTGCTCAGGGGGGAGTTGTTCTGACTTGATGAGACCAGGGCTCATTCACGAAGACTACATCTGTATCATCGTTCGAGAACTGCTCATGGGTTTGGACTACCTACACGGCGACAAGAAGCTGCACCGAGACATCAAGGCAGCCAATGTACTACTTGGTGCTAATGGGCAGGTCAAGTTGGCCGACTTTGGTGTTTCGGGCCAGTTGTCTGCTACCATGACCAAGAAGAATACCTTCGTGGGCACTCCTTTTTGGATGGCTCCAGAAGTCATCAAGCAATCAGGTTATGATCACAAGGCAGATATATGGTCCTTGGGAATCACCGCCATTGAGCTCGCCCTGGGGGAGCCCCCGTATGCGGATATTCACCCCATGAAAGTTCTCTTCCTAATCCCCAAGAATCCTCCTCCAACGCTTCAGGGCAATTTCTCACGCACCTTCAAGGATTTTGTCGAGCTCTGCTTGCGGCGAGATCCTAAGGAACGTCCATCCGCCAAAGAGCTCCTGAAACATCCTTTTGTGAAAAAGGCCAAAAAGACCACATACCTGACCGAACTTATCGAACGGAATGAGAGATACATGGCCACTCGTGGCGGTCGCTCTTCCGACGATGAAGAAGAAGAGGAAGACTATGCTCCGGTTATACATGATCCAGAAAACGATGACTTGTGGGATTTTGGCACAGTAAGGCCAATCGGAACGCGTGGTACGGGATTGCGGGATATGAATGACTCCGCGACTAATGCCCGCGCTTCAGCCGAACCTGTCGTCGCCAAAGGTCAATCAAATTGGGATGAGACTGTCAAAATTCCGGCCTCGCCACAGAAGTCCCCCGTCAAAGCCACGTTTCCTCCAACTCCATCCAAAGTCGCCTTACCCCCTTCACCGAATAAATCATCGTTTGCTGGAGCCGAACCAAAACCAGCGCCAGTCGTCAACCCGCAGACTCCGTCTGCCGCCTCGGCCGGAAAGACAAATCACAGTCCAGATTCCAACGGTTATGATAAGGCCATTCAGGCGCAGATAGCAAGAGACATGGGATTTCTAAAGCTTGACGACATGAATAGCCCTCACCTCAAATCTTCGACACCACCAGGAAAGAAGCCAAAGATGACAATTCCAGAAATTCCCCCATTCCGTGGCGTGTCTGGTCAGGGGCCGCCCCTGCGACAGCCGTCAGCCAGCAAGGCATCCGGGCAGCAACCTCTGCCTCCATTTTCACCAAAAGACTTGCCATCATTGCCTCAGTCGCAAACATCAACGGCAATGGCTAATCAGTGGGGCTCATCTGCCGGACAACCTGTGCCAAGTCAATCGTCGCATCCTTCACAAGCTGCACTCATCAGCAATATGGCCGCTCAGCAGGCAGGCTACGACTCCTCCCAAGAATTGACAGCTCTCAATTCTGTAATTATCCCAGCGCTAGAGGCTGCGATGCATCGCCGAACATACATGCTGAAAGAACTCGCAAGGTCAAGTAAACTCAGCCCTTCGGCAGCTGCCGAAATGCAACAACAACGAGTACAAACACACGAAAAAGTCAGAAGGTTGATTGCAAAGACTGCAGGCTTGTTCCACGAGATTCAGGCCTGTGACGCGGAATGTCCGGTTGGCATGGGTGGTGGAGTTACCGAGTTCTTGGAAGGCTTTTTGGAAGAGATTCTAGTTAGGGTTGAGGCAGCCGATGAACCCCAGCAAAGTCCACGAAGGACCTGAGCCTGGGCTGACCTGGACTAATGACAGACGATGAAGAGGAACATTGTATATTATGCATGAGACACGGTTGGGCACGAGGCTGTTATGCATCAGCCGCGTTTCGCCAACACGCGAACAAACGATAGGCCTTTAAAATTGGCCATGTTAAGAAATAGGCATTGCTGAAGTGGCGGGAGAGACCAAATTTACATATCTTTCGCTCAACATTCCTCTTCTTGCTTCGATCCTCGATCTAATGGATAATTTGGCCTGTTCACGATAGTCCCACCACGTCAGAATGTACAGAGTATGCATTTAAGATATTTAAGCTTAAATAAAGTTCACCCACACTAAGCCAGAAATGGCTAACCCATACATCCATCCTCGTTCTCCATGTGATAGTCACTGCTCAAACACTCAACCTTACTGACTCACTGGCCTGGAGTCTTGTCGATGGGTGATCAGGCATATAACCAAACATTACACAGCTAAAACCAGCAACCGGTCGGTGAAAGCTTTTACTAGTGCACCAAACAGGTCATCCGGAGGCAGGAAGTGGAAGAATGTACTTGCGAGAATAAACTCCCAGAAGTTACAAACAGCTAAGTGACAGCTATCGGCGCAAACATTGGTGCACAATATCAGTACCTAGATTAATGACATTTACATATATGAATGTCGAGAAACTCCAGATCAGCAACTTGAAAACGTTGATCTCAAACTCTAAGCGGCTTCTTCACCCTCTGTTCGATGGCAAAACTAAGACTGACGACAAATCAACAGATCTTCAAACTACCTTCACACACAGCGAAATGAAACGCGAGTCTCTTCACTTCCTGAGTCATGGTGGACTGATGAATCTCCTCCCTCAGTTATCAACAGAGCTTGAACAGTGACGCTGCTGCTTCATTAACTGTGCACGAGATTCTGTGACTCCGCGCTTAAATATATATGTTCCTCGCTTTTCGCGCCGCAGGAGATGTTCCTACCCTTACAGTATGCGAATTTCAGCCAAAGTTGCTCTCACAACTTTCACTTTTCGACGTTTCGCGTTCTCAAATCTCCGTTTTCCGCGAACAATTACGCAGAAGCACAGGGCCAACCATCCCAGAACGCAAGCGAATCAGAAAGTCCCCTCTCTGTTCACGTCTTCACACTTAGGTCAGATTATCGCAATAAACTCATCATGTCTCTCAATGGGTCCTGGGATTTCATCGAGGACGAGGACCCGTGTGATGCCTGGGGCGTCCCCATACCTCAAAGGCAAAAGCGGCGTCGCAAGATCTGCTTATGTGAGCAATATACTGGCATGAGCTTGATGGAACTCCCAGCCGAAGTCCGAATGAACATTATTGGCTTCGTCTTTGATCTTGGATTTTTCGAGATAGGGGGATCCATAACAGGAAGTTATGCCCCAACTCTTAAATCAATTTCAGTTCCAGAAATTTGGGTGTCGCTAAAGGGGCTCATGATGACATGCCGCCAATTACGATCAGAGTGTTTGGACGGCTTGGGACTGCGGTCAATCTGGAAGTTCGGCTTCACATCACAGACATTCTTACCTGCGAGAATGACAACTGAAGGAAGGGGCCCATGGAAGTTTGGCTTTCGAAATAGGTTTGGCGACTTCATCTGGGAGATGCCACGCTTGATGGGCCCAGAGTTCCTTTTTCCAATGCGACTGTTCGAGCTAGATATGCATTCCAGTTACCACAGGCAGTACCGCAAGCGCTTTCCTGTATTGCTCTCTGTATTGTGCGACCATATGCCAAATCTCGTGAGTTTTCGATTCAAGACGTCTCATTACATTGAGGCCTCCAGTGTCAACCCGAGGAGAACACGAGATACCGCCAACATCACTCGCAATCAGCAGAACCGTCGAACACTTTCGAGGTTTGCGTCCTTCTTGGTTCACCGCCATCAGAACCTTGATCTCATCAAGTTCGGTGAAACGACTAAATGGGGGTTACGGGTTTTTGCATCGGTCAACATAATGTCAAGACAATTGGCTGCCAGGCCCTTGCGACAGTCACCAGCCTGCAGAGCGCATCTTGAAGCTCAACCCGAGGTAAGACCAGTTTTACACAATATATACACATCACTAACTCTTGATAGAACTTGGTCCTGAACGCGACAAAAATCCGGCGCTTTCTTTGGGCAGAACTTGCCCACGTCAATATTGCAACTTTGACCTTGCCAGATGACAGTCGCACCTCCGAAATCGATGAAGGACATAGCCACTTTTCCGTGGTTGATCTTCAAGCGTACAGAACCAGGAAACAGCGAACTGCGTGGGGTTTTCGGAATTTCAGCGCCGATGACCTGATTGGATTCTGCAAGGCCCGTATGACGGGCAACATGGATGCTAAGAGTACTGCTTTCTGGAACTCTACAGAAGACCTTGCAAAAGAGGGACTGGCTCCCAAACCTCAATTGCGGTACTCGGAGATGGGACCCAATTGGGAACCTTCAGACCCGGCATACGAAAACAATCCACATCGTGGTGTGGCAATATACCTACGCATCCAAGACGTCGATCTTCCAAATGGTAGTATCACCTCCTTCTCTACTAGTTGGACAAGGGAAGATTGATCCCGGCGCTCTAACCATGAATGATTACAAAAATAGTACAATTCCCTCAAATGGAATCTGATCCTCCTGTACCCCTCCGGACACAAGACACATAGAAGAGCTATTAGACTTGAACCCATCGATTAACTGAAGTAGAACCCGGCATCGGAATGAAAATGTGACAGATCAGGGACATCTGGAATGGCTGCGTATCTTCCTGTATAAGACGGCCGCATTCTCCAACAGCTGGAGTTGATAAACCTAGGTACACTGGCCACTTGCTGACACGAGACATTTCTTGCACCGACACTTGCGTCAAAACGCGGTTGCACAAACAGCAGGGAGATCTTACCCGTACTCGTCGAGTCCCAGCCGCTACTTACTTGAAAAGTGCTCTAGTCAACGGTCTTTTCACCCATCTTTGGTGTGGATAGAAAGGACAAGGATGGGAAAAGGAGGTCAATACTTGATGCCAAGACATTGACACGTGACTGGACTCGACGACTTGCTGCTGACGACATGATCATGAAACAACTTCATCCAGCTGAGTTTCAGCAACAGAAGCCATCGATCGTTATATGGCATCATCCACTTTTGTGGAATATCTAACCTTTTCGAACGGCTCATCTCCCATATTCTTTATGACCACGGCCCTAGTCTCCCGTGAGATCCGCAACCCCTGTGCCGACACGGTTGGTTGTTGCCATGGCTCAGAAGCACAGCAACCTCATCCGCCTTAGCTCTCTCCAGGTAGGAGATCTGCCGGAGCACACGGAATTGCCGCTTTCCAACAACTCAAGGCCTGAATTGGAGACGTTTTTCACGACCCTAGTCAACGACGGCCTTGCTTTTCTCTCCGCCAAGTCGCTAGCCGACAATTTCTCTCATCACTCGACAAAGCCATCTTCTCCATCCTCATCTAAAGTTGAAGTCCTCACTTATTCAATCTCTGCCGCCGAGATCGGGCAAATTGAGTGGTCTGGTGGTAGGACTGTGGCGCGGAGCAAACCTCGAGCCCCAGATTCCGAACACTGGTTTGCTAGAAAAAGCATCCATCCAGACATCTCGAGCAAGAGCATCGACAAGGCTGGATCGGCCTGCTGGGACGAGTTTGTCTATGGCCTCAGGGACAATCACAGTGAGCATGAAGCAAAGTTTGATCCTTCTCTCTATGATGCCCGACCAGTACTGGATTGGAACCGTGACTTAGGCCTGCTCAAGGCACGCGGGCAGCTTGGATCCTTGATGGAGCCGACGCTGGGAATATACGAGATGTCACGTTCGATTCCTGGGCCCTTGTCACCACGGGCATTCTCCGTCCTGGTCGGCACCGCAAGCGTAGACGAGGATTTGTTCATTGCCGTGACAGTGCCGGTAAGCCTGAATGCGAGTATCGACAATGCCCTTTACAGTGTAGGTCGGAATATTCAGGACGGCGAAACAGCGCAACAGAGGAAAGAAGTCGTCATGGGCGTATATGCTGCAGTTGAGACGGTGAGGAGGGATCGCACCAAGCAGGAAATCGAATGGATCATGGCCACCGCGTCTGATGCAAGAGGGAATTTGCCCATGTGGTTGCAGCGTGTCAGTCTGCCGTCTCAACTGGTCAAAGACGTGGGGAATTTTCTCAAATGGATACAAACGGTAGATGATAAGGAGATGAAGAAGGATGGGGAATCTAAGGGGTCAAAGACATGATATAGAAGGGAGAGAAGGATGAACGTCATGTCATGTCCAAGCAAAGCATTCAATATGCCTGCCAATTTTGTGCGGGAGGCCTGCTTGGACTAATGAGGCATCGACGGTGGATCTCGTTGAGGACTATCATTGTCATGTAGAAACGCAAGCGATATTTTGAATCTTCATATTATCGTCAAGAGATGAAACGAAACTGAGCTATCATGCCTGATACTCCCTCTTGGAAGTTGATTATCCGTGAGCTGTCCACTGCTGCCCCCACCTAGACACTTGGCAGTTTCATCTACAATTCTCAAAGAATAAAATTAGGACATGGAATCTCTTCTCCAACTCTTGGTGTAATCATCTTGTCTGGGTAGCAGATGGAGATGGAGTCTTTGTACTACTTTACCCCAATTCCACCAACTTTTGCCCATTGAGATTCTGAGATTCTCCAACTGACGATGAGCCGTTGATTGGGTTCTCCGATTTCTCCCTTGTTATAACATGAAATAGAAATCATCAGTCATCTCGTCCTGGACGCATGCCGGAGATCTATAAGTTTTTGTACTATTTCACTCATGTCATTTCCATTTTTACAACGTCTTCTGCCTTGATAGAACAGAGTGGCAGTTTTCGACTAAACCTAGCTCCGTGATCGATCATCAACACTACCCCGCCACCATCTATTCAACATGGATCTCGTCCAAGTTTCAGGAGTTGGATTTGTGGGGCTAGGTGCCATGGGCTTACCGATGGCAGGACATCTAGCCACCAAACTGCCATCACATATTCGCATTTACGTCTACGACCTCGTACAGGAGAGTCTAGACAATTTACAGCAAGAATACCCTGAGCGGGTGGTCAAAGGTTCCAGTGCGAGAGATGTGGCGGAGAAATCGGTATGTCTGGCTGCATTTTTGTTACCAAACAAATCTACTGACCACCAGTATCTCAGCAAATCATATTCACCATGCTACCTGAAGGGAAACACGTGCGATCAGTATATATGGGCGGCGACTCAGACACGATATGCTCAAGTGACATTTCTGGAAAGTTGTTATTCGATTGCTCGACCATCGACACAGCCAGTAGTTTGGCGGTCAAGGATTTCATCAGTAAAAATTTCCCGACCGCTTCTTTCTACGACGCTCCAGTCAGTGGAGGTGTGGTTGGTGCGCAAAAAGGAACTATCGCATTCTTCCTCGGCGCCGATGGAAATGACCCTAAGCTGCCTCGTCTGATGGAGCTGCTGAGCATGATGGGCAAAGACGTCATTCCATGTGGAGGACCGTCGCAAGGCCTGGCGGCTAAATTGTCTAATAACTATCTATCTGGAGTCATTGCCATCGCCGTCTCCGAAGCCATGGATATGGGAATGCGGTCGGGGCTGGATCCCCGTGTCCTGGCCAAAGTTTACGCGGCTGGCACGGCGCAGAATACCATTTGCGACCGATTCTGTCCTGTTCCAGGCGTCTACCCTGAAGCACCATCTTCGAAAGGTTATACTAACGGATTCAAAGTCCAGTTGATGCGCAAGGACTTTTCTTTGGCGTTGGAAATGGCAAGACGAGTGGGTGCTAAGAACGTCTTGGGTGATATTGGATTAGCTACCTATGATGGTGCTAGCAAGGACTCAAGATGTGTTGATCTAGACTCGAGAGTCGTTTACCGCTACCTAGGTGGAAATGAGGACTGGCAGAAGGACGCGGATGAGGCGACGGCGAGTATATCGAATGGGATATAGGAGGATGAGGAGGTCAATCGTCGTGGTATGCGATCGATCATCCTGGAGGAATAGTACTGAGTAGACTGCATGTGTAGAATTTTCCAATTTTTTCACACCACTGCTCGAGATCCATTCAATTCTTCACATTTTGCTGTTATCTCTCCTCTTCCCAACCCTACTGGTAGCATCCTCTTTCCCCCTCCCCTCCCAAGAACTCTCCTACTCCTCCTACTCTTCCTTCCACGTGTCACCACGTGACGCTATCAAAAAGTTGGAGAAGTCGCACCAGAATTGGAGAAAGGAAGATACATTTCCCTGATTCCTCCAATCAATGCCTCCGATTTGCGGAGTAAATCCTGTGGTGCCAACCTCCCACCTGATGTTCAAAGACGTCCGTTTTGCGCAATGCCATCGGAGACAGGCAAGCTAGGTGGGGGGAAACGTCGTAGCAATTGATCAGGTGGAGACCATTCTCTCATCCTATAAATGAGTTCCGATTTCGCGCGAGACACTAGAATGAGTACAAGTAAAATATAACCTTGAGAGTCGACTCCTTTGTCAATTTTTGATAGTTTGGGACATATTGGCCAGAGAAATATCTGTATCTCATCCTTCCAGCTTGCCCAAACTTAATCAAGCCCATCATCATCTACTTTCCCTTAGCTCAAGCGATCAAGAACAATTACTCAGCTATAAGAGCAACATGTCAGGATCCAACACCAACACCCCACAGGACTTGTCCAAGGTCACCAGCGCCGTCGACCCGGCACTACGACCAGCACACGAAGCACTGTTCAACGCCGGATTGGCAGTTCGACGAGCCGTGGTGGGCGATGCCTATGTCGACCGAGCACTGGAGAATGGTTCGACCGAATTCTCTCGTCCAGGCCAAGAACTCGTCACTGAGTGGTGTTGGGGATATGCCTGGACCCGGCCGGGCTTGGAACGCCGAGATCGCTCTCTCATCAACATCGGCATGCTCATGGCTTTGAATCGCGCTCCTGAGTTGGCTGTCCATATTCGTGGTGCCAGGAACAACGGTCTGTCTGAGACGGAGATCCGTGAGGCTATTTTACATGCCACAACATACTGCGGTGTACCTTCTGGCGTCGATGCGATGAAGGTCGCGGAAAGGGTCCTGAATGATATGGAAAAGGAAGAAGGGCTTAAGCGAGAATTGGGTGCGAGGAGTAAGGATGCCTAAAGGTTGGAACACAGAGTTCGAGTGAGGATAGTTTCAAGGTATTGATGATATGCTGCCATTCATACATGTCTGATATGTGATCATCTATCTAGTATGCGAAAATAACCCATATAAAATACCCACGCTCAATATGCTTGACCATATGCGTTTTATCAACTTTTGAACCTGCCATTGAGCTTTTTGGATTGATGCATTTTCATGTCCGCGCTAATATGCAACAAAATTCGATACAACTCCCTACCTGTTTCAGGCTCAGTCCTGACCCTCTCACACAGCATCGCCTGCGTGACCGTTAAGATGCCGGCCTTTCTCCTGGGTCTCTTCCTCCTTGCGAGCCGCATCTCGAGCAGCCTCGGTGCTTTCTGCTGCCGCCACGAATCTCTCTAGGTCAACACTAGTGGCTGCTGTGGTGGCCTTGGCCCTCAATGCGCTGCGAATCTCATCCACTGACTTCTCCGCCCAACTGCTGTAGCTGCTCTCGCTCAACGGGAAGAGTACCTTGTTGCGTTCAGTTGTCACAAACTTGGAGGAGCTCGGAGGAGCCATGGATGTCAGAACATCGATATCTGAGGCAATCTCGCGGCAATAGCTGTCAAGTGGCAGATCGTTGACATCGGTTCCAAAGGGATTCTCAATCTCGTACCCAATTGCAGCAAGGCCAAGGATGATGTAAGCTCCTAGCATGGTCCCAAAAATGGTTACCCATCCTAGACTCTTATAAAGCTGGAACGGCAGGACCAGGATGTAGGCCCAGGTGATTTGACTGATGGAGATGGAGTAGGCGAGAGGGACGGGAGTGTTGAGAACACGCTCAGTTCCAGTAAGAACGTCGGCAAATGTGGCCAATCCGTTCATCAGCTGGGTTTGGTGAGCAGGAACTTTCATGGTGCCGTTCTGGATGGTCTCCTCGACATAAGCTGACAAGTAGTTGAGCACCTCGAGCGGGACGTTGCCAAGGTTTTCTCGACTCTTTTTCAAGATTTTGCGAGGATTGGACTGGCCAAAGGGGATGTCCAACCAGCTAGCAAACTCTTTCCATGCTGTTTGCTTATTTTGTTGCAGTTTTGACTGGTCAGCCATTTGAGCAAGGGTGTAAATGTTACCGATCAGAGGTTCCAGGTCTGGATAGTTGGCAGCGGGTTCGAAGCGGAGGCGGTGCTTCAAAGACACGGCAAAGGCATTGATGAGATTGAGTGCTGTCAATTTGGCCAAAATGTCGGCTTTGCCGAGTTCTGGATCCTGTGCATGTCTCTCTTGGGTGTGGATCCAGATCAGTCGAGCAAGGCTTCGAGCGGTGACCTGGAGCTGTGCCCAATACTTGCGTCCCTCGCTATACCGTTCGTAAGCCGTGGTGGATCGGAAGGAAAGAGCCAGACCGACGACAAAACCGGTGATAGTAAGCAAGACCGGATTGATACCGAGGTTGTAAACAAACTTGGAGATGCAGGTGACGGCGGTAGCCCAAGTGGCGACGAAAGTGAGAGGAATGATCATCTTTGGAATGATGCTGCCATGGAGTCGAAGAAAAAGTGGCCATTTGGAATGATGAGTCATGTCTCGGGGCCCTTTGAAATATTCGTCGAGATACATCGAGGTGTGGGTTTTCTGTCGAAGGGCGATGGGGGTGAAATGAGGGTTCCGGCCAGGAGAAGGGAGAGCACTGGCTGCCGAGTTGTGAGAAGAGGCAAAGTCGGTGACATTGAGGTCAGGGATCTTGTGAGACTCCATGGTGAGAGGCGTGGTCATTCTCAGTAACTAGGCGTTCTAGTCACAAGAAAGGTAAGGGAGGAAGGGAATGGCAAGAGGGATGTGAGCTGATGTCAGTTTTCCTGTGCAATCATCAGAAACAGGGCCAGCGTCGGTTCTCAACACCGAAGCAGGAAAGAAAGAAAGATGGGTTTGGCTCCAAACCACAGGTCGATAGCCAGAGGACTCATAAAGCACTGTCAAGGTGAAGGAAAGAAAACATGGAGCAGACAAAGGGAAGATCAAAGGGAGAAATAAAAGCAGGAAGCTTTTATGGTGACCGCAGTCAATCCACCATACTTCCCCATTCAATCGGAAAGCTGCAACAAACAGGGTTCGTGCTAAGAAACAACAAAAGCCGCTCAAGGTTAAATTTAACATTTTTATTCGACGAAGCGATGAGCACTCGTGGCGGCGAGCGATTGGACTTCTGGGGTGAAAAGGCGTGATATGGCCCCAGGTACACAGTGAGGCCTCAGGGATGAAACAACATACAAAAGTTTGGAAATATGGTAACCAGCTTGGGGAGGGACCTAACCAAAGGCAGGGAGACATACAGGGGAGCTGAATGGCGCCGGGGAAGGCCAGTCCCAGGGTCATTTTGTGCTGGATGCCCAACAACAGGCAGCCATCCTCTCATGCCTCCTGGGGGGCACGGGGGCTCAGATGGACAGAGAATGACAATTGAACAACTGCTTTTGTACTTGCCGTGGACAAATCTCATCAAAGCTAGACGGAAGGCGCAACTCGGTCGGCTCCCTACCTACGGAGTACCTCATGTCCTACGCGGAAGGCACGATGGAAATCAAATAGAAGGTGGTCAGTCGAGCCTTCTGCATCTAGACCCTGAATCAGAGGACTAAGTTTCTTCTTGGCTGAAATTTAAACCTTCCTTGGCGACGCTTGGAACAGAGAAAGATCGAGGGGTTCGGGCCCAGCCCTCGGGGTCAGCGCCTCTGCCGCTTACCTAAACCAGGTAATGATTGATGTGCTAGGTATGTGCACCCTACGCAATGTGGCCCGGGTCCTAATCACAGCTCTCAGGGGTGTCCTACAGGTACGGAGAAAATTATGAAATATCATTCAAACAACCTTTAAGGCAGGATTGAGAATTAATTCTATAGTGATATGCTTTTTGATCTGATTTATGACACAGGATCACGTGTGAAGAAGAAAAATGACCAACCGTAAGCCCATAAACAGGCTTGAAAGGGAATAAAAGGTCCCAGGCGACCACGCCACCCCGAGACTTGTGGTCAGATCAAATGAGGTCAGCACAGCTGCTACGACCAGACTTTTTCCATCCGTCATCACCCAAGACTGTGACCTATTCCACCAATCCATCTATTTTTGTCGCCATCTTACCTACTTACCTATTGTATGTGCTAACTTACGCCCATTCCGCATTCAATTTGTCCTTACTCCGTAAAGACCCTCCAGCCTCACCTACCGGATTTGCAGCATCAATAACGGCTCAGCCAACCATCCAAGTGACACCATTCCTCAGGTAATCCACCCAACACGAGCCTTTGAATTGGCTGCATGCGGCCAACTCGCATGCCCGAGACCTGGCGTCCTAGGCATTAGTAGCTCGCCCCTCAACGCAACCGAGTCCCGGATTCCCAATTCACGATTCTCGTTTGTGCCACCTCCAAATCACAATCTTCCTAGACTCGACAAGTGGATGCACCCTTACCCACCATCCCTTGATTCTTGGAATTCCTCCGCATTTCGACAATCATCTTTTGCTCATCGTGACTTGGTAGAAAATCAGATTGTTGTAACTCTCATCTACTCAGTTCATCTGTTCATTAGCTGGGTGACTGGCTGCTTCAAAGAACTTGCCGCCTTCAGCCATGATTGTCCCACCTCTCTCATATTAGCCACCGTTCCTTGCGCCGGATGAGAACACTGTCCTTCAGTCTCCTTTTTCCCCTCTACTTCCCCGGCTCTCGTTCTGGAAAATGCTCTTCCTATTGCCTACCCGTTACAGTCTTATGTTAATTGCCACCACTTTGACATGCTTATTGCTTTATCTCACCTTCTCCCCGCCCACCTTCTGGGATCAAGCTGTCGTCTATGACGATGCTGCCCCTCGTGGCAATGGCACGGATCATCTGCATATGTCTCAGCACTTGTCAACCCCTATACGAGACAAACGATTGGCCCAAGTCTTGAATGATACTTTGGGTTTCCAGGAGATCTATTTGATATCATTACCCACACGCACCGACAAGCAAGACACATTCGCCATGCAGGCTGCCTTCACATCCCTTAGGTATACCGTCATTGATGGTGTTGATGGCAACACTGTTCCTTCAAAAGCCCTTCCACATGTAAGGAGTCTGCTTTTTATTCTTCCGAATGGAAAAGACTAACGTCAGATGTACATAGACCATGGACTTGGGTCCGAATATCGTCGGTTGCTGGCGAGCTCACATGAACACTCTCCAGAAGATGGTTCGCGAAAACATTGCCACTGCCTTGATCTTTGAAGATGACGCCGACTGGGACGTCTCGTTCAAACAACAAATGGTTCAATTTGCTCGAGGTTCTCGATTCATCACCAATACCACTCGTCCTGAGAAATCGGCCTCACCATATGGCGACAATTGGGATATTCTCTGGATCGGCCATTGTGGAACTTGGTATCATGAACAGGACAACCGCCGCATGTTTGTCATTCCTCAAGATCCGACCGCCGAGCCTCTCCAGCTTCGTCAGAACGTCGATCAGCCGGACCTGTCGCACTGGGAGACTGGCCCTCACGCCGACCCACGCACACGAGTTGTCTTCAATTCCAAAGGCGGAGTCTGCACTCCAGGGTATGCCATTTCTCAACGAGGTGCTCGCAAGGCACTCTTCCACATGAGCATGATTCCATACAACGACCCAGTCGACTGGGGTTACGTGAATCTGTGCAATGACCAGAAAATGAACATGACGTGCGTTTCTGTGTTTCCTCAGCTCGTTGGTGTGTCGCGACCGACTGCCAATACCAGCAAGACTAGTGATATTGGGTATGGCAACGACGAGGATCGAGTGGTGGAAGAGGCCAAGTCACTGCACATTGTATATTCCACCAGGCTGAACATGGAAAGGCTCATCAGGGGCGATACTGTTTTTGACAGCCAGTTCCCCGACATCACTGGACCGCAGATGGATATCAAGGAAATCGGAGCAGCCGTTGGCCATGCCGAGATTCTTCATGTTGACGATCTACCCAAGCCTAAACTCGACGGACAACCCCCTACTTGAAAGGGCAATATCATGAATCGTCCTAGATGGACGTCCTCAACCCGGCCAAAACATGGATCTCACAGCATTCTGATCGCAGTTAAACGATCGCATCTCAACACTCCCCAGATTACGAACTCGAGCGGACAACTACCGGTGACCTGGATGATTTACTTGGTGTACATCACGTTGATGTCTCTCATGCTCGCGTGTACAGGGACACAAGGTTCGCAGATGGGATATACTATCATTATTATCGAACGATGACCATGCACTGTCTGCATTGTTCATTCGAAAGAGCAGGGATGTCTCTGCAGGCAAGGTTGAAGCCATTTGAATTATGACCTGAAATATACAGGTTCATGTGATATCACGTGTTTGGAGTCGAGCATTGTGGAAGAAACGGACTCCCGATCTTTTTTGTACGAGTAGATTGCGGAAGCGGTGGGAAATTCTGAAACAAAATCGCAATCAATGGCAAGAGCAAAAACGGGTTAGATGCGTGGGGAGGTGGGGTCCGGTTCGGACAACGATTGGAAGGTGCGAGTTGAGATCAATCTTGCCAGTGGTAAGCTAAGCCTCTTTCCATTATCGTATGCACATCACCCGTTTTTACCGACGCGTGAAAGACGTGGGCGTCGCGTCTTCTATCCAACCACGCCAACCAAACGCCACAAGCGTCACCTCTCGCCAGGAAGTCGCAGCCCCTGGCGCGCAATCGGAGATTTTGCATTCCAAAAATTTCACGCTTGAGAGGCACCTACGAGCATGCAAGGAGGCGTGGGAGGTCACCTATGCACCCTCAATGCACTATGCAGAGATTAGGGTACCTAGCCTTGCATCGTCATATATCATATCCGACCAGTAATCAACTTAGACCACCCCCTTGGGGCGAAAAGTATGTATGTGCATCTGTGTGGCGCAAAGGATTACAGCTCTCTTTTTCTCCAACACACGGAAGATATCTAAATAGTTTTAATTGTACCCGTGGTATCGCAACACAAGAATGGAATCAATGGCGCACAAAGGGAAAAGGAGAGGGGTTGTACCGGCTAGTAGCTGTCCCACCTAAATGGTCCCCCCAAGTCGACCCTCTCTGGGTACTCGCGGGTGCCTGAAACTCGCCCACATGTCAATCACCATAAATCAACCTGGAAAGAGTAAATGTCAACTGCCAACGGTGCTGTCTCCAGCCCCTGAGTACCTGCCTTGTATGCTTCGGTCACTATCAGCAGCGTCCTAAACAGTGTGCCGTATTTAAATCGCCACGCTCTCTGGTTCAAGCCAATGGCAGCTTTCCATTCCGCCTTGGAAGTCTGTGCACCTTCAGCCATTCGCAGCTCGCTGCTTAAATACTTCCCCTTGAGGTTATAACATGGTCAGTGCTTTACCATACCACGCTCCAACTCGTCAAGCCCCCGCGGCTTCGCCCTTGATACTTTTATCGTTGTCTTGCACTTCAACCAGACAGTTGGCCACCGCCCTTGCGACGTCCCATCAGCTCCTTCAGCTGTGTCCTCGACCTGTGCAATAAATGACCTCCCTCCGTCCTACCTTGCCCTTGCACCTCCCTGGCCCTCACCACCGTCCTTGCGCACGATAACATCCTCAGTCTCTTTGGCGCGGGGAGATCAACACCAGGGCCGTGTTGCCTACCTTACCACAATTCTCGCCCCCAGGAACCCCCACCATTGACCTAGAGCCAAATACAAGTCTACTTACTTGACAATCTTTGGTGCAAAGACAGCGCACCACGAGGCAGAAAAAAAGAACATCTGGACTATTGTACCACTCCAAAATCAAAGATGGAATCACCCTCCCATCGGAGTATGAACCCTCTCCAACAATTCTATGGTGGCCGCAAGGTGATGCGATGGGTTGTCTTTGTGGCCGTGTCCGCGATTGCCACACTGTACCTGACGGGCCAGAGTTATGCTCCTGGGTCTTTGTCGAGAGGCTCCCACGGATATGCCAAATACTTGACACCTCAGGAACTCATGGAACGGCCTATTTCCAAAGACCTTCAGACAATCCCCAAGGTCTTCCACCAGAGTTGGTCGTCGACTGAGCTGCCAGCGAAATTCGCTCGCTGGAGCGACACCTGCCGCAAACAACACCCCGACTGGGAATGGGTATTGTGGACTGACGAGGACAACGAGGAGCTGGTCAAAAGGCATTTTCCATGGCTGTTGAAGACATACAAGGCCATGCCTGGCATGATCTATCGGGCGGATTTGGTTCGCAACCTGTATATGTACATGTATGGCGGGTGAGTATTTTTCCGGGTTCTAAGCCCAATAAGCCTCGCTTTGAGGGCGAAAACACAGCGCGCTGACTGTCCGCCTCTCCACAGGGTTTATGCTGATCTGGACGTCGAATGTATCCGTCCAATTGACCAAATGTTTGGCACTTACAATGTGTCGACCGTGTCACACGCAAAGCCGCGACCACTGTCGACCCATGATCTACAAAAGAATGGCCGAAAGGCCTTCTTTGGGCGCATGGGCACAGACAATGGATTCGACAACTCGATTCCCAACGCATGGATGGCTTCCACCCCGGGTCATCCCTTCTTCCTAGTCCTCGCCGAGTCGGTTATGAGAGATCATAACGACGAAACCAAGGCGGGCCAGTCAGTCGAGGCCACCACAGGTCCAGCCAAGCTGTTCTACATGATTGAAGAATATAATGAAAAGGAGGGCAAGTATGAGGGTGATAAAATCGACAAGGCCGTAGCCAAGAACCCGACCTCAAAACAATTCACCCCCAAGAAAGGCCTGGGTCATTCCATCGAAGTCCTGCCCTTCCACAACATCTACCCTTATTCATGGCAGCGAGATGGCGAGGCCTACCGCTCCGTCTGCTGGGCCGCTCGCAAGACCTTCAACGCTGAGCGCTGCAAGTTACTGCTGGCCACTGATCACTGGCCCAGCTACACCATCACCTACTGGAGCCATTCCTGGACTGGCAACGGCCATGACTCGAACAATTTGGAGCGTCTGATGGAGGAGGAAGATGAGAAAGAGGAAAAGGTTGAGGAAGAATCGTGAGTAACACAGTCACTCGACCACGATTGGTCCCGACCTTCTTTAAAGAGTTTCAACGAACGACACCATCACGGCCCGCTCAAATGACATCGACTACCGTGGGGAGGTGTGGAGTTTGTTGTCACTCTATATATGTCGTCACGAGACGATTTCCGACCCGGATAGACGTCTCTGGGCGGGAACACTGAACCGCTTCAACAGACAAACTTCTGGATATTCGATCAGTACATGTCCGCGGCCCCCCTCTCCCCCAGAGATCCATTGAAAATCGAGGCGGAAATGGAGGTTTCGCAACCATGTACACTTTCTGAACGGACACGAACCAACGGCAACGGCGCAAGGCAAGGCAAGGCAAGGCAAGGAACCGGGAACAGGATTCCCCTCCCCAAGATTCTATAAACACACTTTTTTCCCTTCCGCTCTTCAAAGTCATGTCATGTCATGAATTAATGGACACGTGTCATATGACGACGGCGGCTTCGATGATTATGGTGATGGTGGCGGTGGTGACGAGAGTAGAGAAGCGAGCTGGAGCAGGAAGAGGGGCTGGTCGATCAATGAAGACTACGCCCCGACTACTTTTGGAAATGGTATGTATACTTACTATAGAGCAAGAAAGGACAGCAATTTGTTCCGGATCTAAACTGGACTCGTTCGAAATATTATTGGATAGATGGTAATGATTAGTAGTCTCTGTGTGTTGGACAAACGTGATGATGGATGTCATATAGACCTCCAATTCCTTAAAGTTAGATTATTCACCGCCTCGGCACCTCCCTTTGGGGTATCCCGTTTCCTGAGGATTCAAGACACCAAAGTCAATGATGCATCAAGTGTCCGCTGAGGGGAAGCTGAGTCCGGGTCTCAGCACCTGCACCTCCAACGGGACAAGAGATATCACAGTACTGGATTTAGCCCAGGAAATCAATCGTCTTCTGCTCCATTATTGAGGCTTGAGGCTTGAGGCAATTGGTGGTGTGATACCTACATGGTCTACGCCAATAAATAAGCCATCCTTCTATGCTTTTATATCATACGTGACCAAGTCGCTCGTACTTTTTCTTGCCTAACTCCTTTCCCTTGATATATCTCAATTCTAAACTTCACTCACAATGCGTGCCCTTCGCTATCATGGGACCAAGGATCTGCGTCTCGACGAAGACGTTGCTGAGCCTAAATGTGGTGATTCCCAGGTAAAAATACGACGTGAGACCTATACCCCTACCTTGAAATCGGGCTCAGTGACGCTAATCCAACAACATTTCAGCGGCTTTCTGCGGGATCTGTGGAACAGACTGTAAGTCAGACCTTGTACTGTCCACCACTGAACAGGGCACGTCAGCGACCAGAAACCTACGGCTAATTATCGGCCGTGCATAGTACATGAATACTCATCGCCAACATTCATCCCATCTAAAGAATCGCCCCATCCTGTGACCGGAGAGTCGATGCCAGTGGCCATTGGGCATGAGTTCAGCGGCACCATAGTTGAAATTGGCCCAAATGCCGCGAATCCGCAAAACCTCAAGGTCGGCGATGACGTTGCGGTTCAACCTACCATTTGCTGCTTTGGCTGCGGACCGTGTCGGGAGGGATATATCAATTGCTGTGACTCGGCGGGGTTCGTGGGTTTAAGTGGTGGAGGTGGAGGGATGACCGACGCTGTTTGTGTGGATCCGCAGTTTGTTTTCAAGTTGCCCAAAGGCACATCTTTGCAGATTGGTGCCTTGGTGGAACCATTGGCCGTGGCATGGCATGCAGTTGATCAGTATCCCATCAAGGAAGGTGACGAGGCTCTTGTTTTGGGCGCAGGCCCAATAGGTCTAGGCGTGATCCAATGCCTCAAAGCCAGAGGAGCAAAGACCATCATCGTCGCAGAAGTCGCAGAGCAGAGGCAGAAATTCGCCAGGGAGTTTGGAGCAACACACGTGCTAGATCCGAGGCATGACGATGTGGTCAAAAAAGCCAAAGAAATCTGCGGTGGATTGGGACCTCATCTAGCACTAGATGCTGCGGGTGTTGCAGCGAGTGTCAAGACTGCAGCACTTGCAGTCCGAGCTCGAGGCACTGTGGTGAATGTGGCAATCTGGGAAAAGGAGGTGAGTAAGATGAGTGGTTTCGAACTGTGTGATTGGAGGTCAGATCTAACGATTAATACCTAGGTTCCCTTTCAACCAAATAATTTGGTGTTTGGGGAGAAGAAATATCTTGCGGGTAAGGCCCCCTCATCGTACAACTCTAGAGAATTGATACTCATGGACGATAGTGCTAGGATATGTCAAGGAAGACTTTGGCGGAGTGATACAAGCCCTCGCAGACGGGGCGCTGAAGCCGGAGGGGATGATCACAAAGACGATCAAGATTGACAAGGTGGTTGAAGAAGGTTATAAGGCTTTGTTTGACGAGAAAGACAAGCATGTCAAGATTTTGGTTGACTGTCGAGCGTAAGGATGAGATGTGGAGGAGATGGACAGACTGATAATGACAGCAAAGCGAAAAGCTGATAGAAGCAGGCACGAAATCTGGTCAGGTGAGCTCACTGCAATGCAAAGTGAGGAAACAGCGATGGAGTCACTGTGGGACTTGCTCTTTGGGCACATGGGGTACGTTTCGATATTGCAGGACTGGAGTGGAAATCTCCATGAGTGTGTGTACTATCTTGCAAACAATAAAAGTCCAGTACAGGGTTTTTCATATCTCCTACTTGGTGTCAACACCAGCGCGGAGGAGACTTCCGTAGAGACATATTGATGGTATACTCCGTACGTGCATGGTGGCAGAGAAAGGAGAGTACCTCAAAGTGTATGGACAGGATCTCTCCACAAAAGGCTAGGCAAGTACCGCAGCCTCGCGCCAGCAACAGCCTTGGCATCTTGGTGCGGCTAACCGCGAGAAATGCGAGGCTGGCCATGCCGCTAGGACCACGTAGCGCACTGCTCAGACCCACGGCTACTAGAAAATGTGCTGGGATCATGGTTGGAGAAGCATCCCCGCACCAGATCATCTGTCTGTGCTTTGTCCAACAAAATGTCCTCCCAGTGTATCACGTTACCGACCTTACGCAGCATAAAAGTGGAAAACGTTGATCAGTGGGGGGCATGCCACCGATCGGCGTCAAAATGTTCAGAAAACCCCTCCATACCCTCGGCCCAAAATAGAAATCAGCTTTTTATTATTTCACAGCTTGTACGGCTAATCCTCTTGTGTGCAATGATCATGTCGCAAGGAATGCACGCTCGCCAAAGGATTGAAATGCGCTGGTGCTTGCCCCCAATGTAGCAACAGCAAAAAAGCGCTCAATAGCATAAATCATCCATCGCAAAGTCATCAGGTTCCCTCTCAGTGTCCTCAAAGAAGGGGTTGCCTTCCAACAAGAGAGGGCGCAACGCCCACCGTAGGAAGTATCCCCATCCACCTCTCATAGTCTAAGCCATTTCCAACCATCTTGATTGTATGAGACCAAGAATTGGAGCAAGCTCCTAAACTGACTCTGGTTTATAACAAGAGCTTGATGCCGGCCAAGAGGAGAGCAGCAAAGGCTCCGGTGGCGATCTGTTGAGTGGCTGCACCTCCCGTCGGCGTGGAAGAGGCGGACTCAGAAGTGGCAGTTGCGGACTCGGTCTCCGATGCGGTCGAGCTGGCTGCCGTTTCTGAGGCAGTAGTGGACTGAGCAGCAGAGGTTGCGGCAAGGGCCTCGGCAGTAGCGTTGCGAGTGCCGCATTGCTCGTTTTCTGCACAGACAGCTTGAGCTTGCGCATTGGTAGGATTAGCGGCCATGCACTGGATGTAGGTTTCCTGGCAGATGAAGAAAGGAAGCGTGCCAGCAAAGGCGGTCGAGTCGGGAACAGTGCCGTTCGCACAGACACAGGAATAGGTGAAAGTATCCTGAAAGGCCAGTTAGACATACGATTTCTAGGAAAGAATGTGGTGCGTTATTACCGAGTTGCACCAGTTTTGAGAAGCAGAACCGCCACACATCTGAGGGCAGGTGTTGCGCTGACCGAGACACCAGTTGACTGGGAAAGTATCAGTAAGACGATCTTGTCGGGCCATGCCGGAGTCTTCTCTTACAAGCATCACTGGCGTTGACTAGAGCAGGGTTAAATGCCTGCGTCGCAACAGGTGGCATAATCTGTGAGACTGTGGTAGAAGCTGCAACGGAGCTTGCGCTCGAGGTCTCGATGGTCTGCGCAGAGCAGGTGGCGGCCAATGCCGAGGCGGCGAGAAAGATCTTGAGCAACATGGTGATGGTGATGGGGATGGTAGAGGTGGACAGTGAGTGAGACGAGACTGGTAATGTCAATTGTAAGTTGATGCTGGAGTACTGTGTAGAACAGAGATATAGTGGCAAGTTTGGGGTGGAAGAAGAGGAGGAGATGGCAGTCAAAGCAAGTGGGCGGTGGATCTCAGGATAAATGAAGGAAAGAGCAGGGTCTGGTTTGCAGCAGTGACGAGTGACGACCAGGGCAAGCAGTCAAGTCAAGAAAGAACAAGAAGGTCAATGCGTGACATTTTGGAACTTGGGGTAGGGGCGACTTTCATACGTTTTGGACTTGGACTTGGCCTGGACTTGGTGCGGAATCTAGCACTCGTAGCTGTTATCTTGTGGCGAGGTTGGTGATACCGAGCAGATGGGACCTTCTTGGTGTCCACGATAGGTGGATGGAGAACAAATGGCTGGAGGGTCTTGAGGGTCTGCGACCAACATACTCACTAGGATAGGGCTATGGTTTTTACGTTTACTCGACGGAGTCTGTCTCCTCCGCGACACGCTTCGACACGAATGAATTGTCTCGTCAGGCGTGGGCTCTGACTTCTAGCGACTCTTACGACTCGGTAGGATATCTTTTGGGATGCAAAAGGCCGGGCCTGGCGCTAGAAATGGGAGCTAAATCTGACGCTAAGATGCGGCTAGCCGGGGCGCCGAGCAAGAATGCCACACTGCACAGGTCTTCTGTGGTTGCCCACGCAGTCCAAGCTGGAAAGAGGCGAGCCAGGAGTGCTCTAGAGTCAAAAGAGGCAGGCGGGATGCATGCTGCTGGTCATCACTCGTCAATTGCCCTGGCAGAGACCCCCTTCTCTAAAACACATTAACGGCCGCCTCCAATCACCTCCTGGCCGTAGCCTCCACGCCGACCGACCGCCACCCAACAGAATCGTCTAGGCAGGCACGACAGCGGATAAGAAAAATCGATGTCCGATGTAGGTGGTCACGGCACTGCAGCGACAGAGAAAGAGGATGAACTTTTTTTAGGCCACGTAAGGCATTGTGGACAATCAACATGGTGTTATAGGATTGACTTTTTGATTTGTTAGTGCCATGCTGCACAATGCTGAGCTGGTCGATTGGAAAGTCAACTTGGGTGTCAAACACACGTGCAGACGAGGTACACGTCATACACTGGTCATAGTTGATATCTCATAATGTACGTAGAGTATCTGATGCGACACTATAACAATAGTACGAAGTAGTACAGTTAACGACAGCACCTAAGGTCAGGTACCACTACCTAAGGTAAGGTAGGTACCTAAAGTAGGTACCTAATGTAGGTAGGTATTTGACCTCGCACTACCATGGGAGAGAGTTGGGGGGAGAGAGCTCGTTCGACATCTGTGCTCCGCCAGAATTGGAGAACCCGTTCTTGCCCACGCCTCATCATCCTCCATGCCATTGGTATTTTTGTACCGTGAGCCGAGGTTCGCGGGGAACACAGCGACTCCATCAACTTGGGCCGGTACGACATTCTACAGAAATTCACCCAGGTCCCAGAGGTCCTCTTCCAGTCCTGTGACACCCAACATATCTAATATCGACTCTGCCAGTACTCCTTTGGACACACACCTACAGAGGACTGTCCCTGCCACCATGGCCGAGCAAGGCGACTACATTGACCGCTTCATCACTGCGCATCGTGTACCCGAAGATGGTCGCAAACATTTTCAGTCAATTGAATGGACAAACAGTTTTCTTACCAACCCTAACTATAGGGCCATCCCGACTTTTGCTCGTGTCCTCAAATCGAGTGGCGAGGACTACTTCTTCTCTCGCACCATCAGCTCTCCCTCCACCATCCCTTATATGATCACGCTCCAAGCCGCAGACTTTCCTAAAATCCCCATCAGTCCCAAGGGCACAGTCAAAGGCAAAAGCGATCCAAAGGATGTCACACCAGTACCCAAGATCCCTGACTGCGTAACCCTAATGGCCTTGGGTCGCCCAGGTCTTGACGGGCATCCGCAGGTGATCCACGGTGGCATGGCCTGCGCTATCCTCGATGAAACCATGGGCTATTGCATCATGCTCCACCAACATCACTCAGGAGGTCGAGATTCCTTATACACAGTCAACCTCAACATCAACTTTCGCAGACCCGTCCCCACTCCTGGCCAGGTCTTTGTCAGGTGCTGGGTGGTGGGAAGAGAAGGTCGCAAGTGGTTGTCTCGTGGGCAAATATGCGACAAGGACGGCCAAGTGCTTACCGAGGCTGAAGGCACCTGGGTTGTTGTCAAGGGAGAAGAAAAATTATAATCTCAAAGAAGTGCGGCTAAGAGTGAAAACCCTATACATGGAGCGCGGCTTGGAACGAATGGTCAACAGAAATGTCCCAGTTCACATCCACCAGTTGCCACGGGTCCATACAGAATCTTGGTAGCTTGGGCTCTGAGTACGTATGCCATACCAGAAGTGCGAAGGTCGATACGCCCAAGTCTGTGCATCGACTGCACATACTTGAAGCTGGATCCAGGTCCACATTCGTCTTTGGGAATTTACGAGGACACTCCAGGCTTTACGGAATCTCGGTTACGGCACTCGATGAAGTTGTCGAATAGACCAGAACTTGGAGAACCCAAGCACTAATCTACCGAGTAAGCGCGTTTCGGTTTTTTCAAGAGCCAACCCCTGGTGACCATAAAGACCTTTGGAATTACGTGATTTCCAAAGCGTGAGATAGAGTATAAACTGGCGGCAAGATCTTTTAGATGAGTGCAGAGTACATTCAATAGATAGAAGGATCATAGATAGATCACAGTACATATTCTGACACACGTGCTGTGTTCACTCTCACGAAAGACACATATAAATATGATGGAATATCTTGGTCCATCATCCCATTGACCCCATCCATAGTGGGTTAGAATCCTCCGCGCGACAATGCTGGGGCTGAAGGTTGCCACATCAGTCTTCTCAACGCTTCTCTGGTAGACTCATGGAATACCATCTACAATAACACAACAGGTTTGATCTTCTGCTTCAAAGACCCTATCTCGTAGTATAGTCAGGCTTCAAGCAGCGTCGTTCATACACGTTGATGCTGATTGTGACTGACGTCATTCGTCTTTTTCTCTCCCTGCGTTGCGCCTGCACTTTTTATTTCCTAAGCTCAAACCAACCGAACAAACAACATCTTCATTTCCACTCACACCCACCATTCTCGCCCCTACCGATCTCTCCTCTTTAGATATTAGACCGCATGTATACCATGAGCCATTCTTGCTAAGCGCCATTGTCTATTGTCTACCACAAACCATTCTTCTCGAGATATTGTTGCAACAACCCTGCCCAAATGGCAGACTCGCCCGCCTCTTCCGCCTCTTCTTCAGAACCAGATGAAACCCCTCTACACGATCGATACCGACTGCGCGTGACGGCTGGACCTGCCCATGACCCTTCTACACATACCCTGGTCCCTGTCAATGGCAATGAAACCCTCACCTTCGAAAACAACCACATGATAGTCTCCCTTGCCGTCCGAATCCGGAATTTCACAGGCTACCCAGACGATTCCCCGCCCACATCCGCGTACTTCGACCACGACCTTCACAAATCTGACCAATACTCGATATCCTTCTCATTTGTCCCCAAAATCGACATTCCAGGTTCCGACCTCGTCTTCGGCAACGACTTCGACCGGCCCATCCGCGACCGCCTCCCTCCAGGCTTCAGCCAGGCATTCCGTATTGTGAAATGGTGGGTTGACCCAGGCCTGGAAGGCGACGTCTACGCCGACAAACCCTATCTCTTTGGCCCCGCGCTGAGTTCCTGGAACATCCTGCGCATCGGCGACCGAGTCGTACCCGATGAACAATTGTCCGAAACCTCCGTCGCGTGGAAGGTACCCAACGCCACCTCATTCCACGAGACTGTAGTCGAAGAAGGCGCTGAGGGCTCTGGCGAACAAATCCGTCAAGAGTCGGGGATTCCGGCCGACTCGGCCGCGAGAAAGAAGCATTTTCTGACCCCAGCGAACCGTGATGCCTTTGTCTTTGAGGCCGGCCGACTCTACCAGTCCGATTTTGGGAACCCATACCTCGACTTCAATGACTTTTCCCTCAAGTTGCCCGGTTTCAGTCTCAATGTCATTCAGTATGTCGATGCCAAAACCCACGAATTGAGATACACATTGAAGAACAAATCCACCGAAGAGATCTATGCAGCCGTCATGTTCACCTTGCTGTTTGGTCAAGAGCTAGAGAAAGAAAAGGAAGAGCATGGGGAGACGACCACAAAACCCAAGACTGACAATAACACAATTGATGATCCACCCCCGGAGGACGACGATGTCGACTGAACATGACAAAATGTATATGTGAATCGATCTGCCCTTGTGAAGCCTTGAGATAGAGGAGAAGGATCACCTCGCGAAAGGGTTGTGGCATACCAGATACAGGTTTATAACGAGTCGTTTTCTATCAAGACAACTGACGACCTCCTCTACAACTTTGTATTGTGGAGTTGACCATGACGACCAGCACAACCACATGATGGTTGGGTCCTGGACTCAATCGAGCCCACCACTTCAAAACCAGCGAGAAGATTGCTTGCGGTGGATATACCGCCGCTTCATATCATCCGCAATGTCAGAACCTGGATGGGAGTATGGATGAAGCCAACGTGAGACACGAATCGATGAAATACATCAAGCGAAACCAATACCCGTTCAGCAAGATAGATCTATGGCCATCTCTACTCCTTGAAAATTAACACCCACACTGTTACTCGCCTAGAACGTTTGTTCATTGGCCCCATTGGGATCTATACACATACACAAAAGGTCTTGACGTTCTAGCATCATGTCTTCATTTTTCTATGACAATCTTCGAGCTGTGCTCCGCGCATACAATGGACTTTCCTCTCTCCAAAAGTCAATAGTATCTTGTGCGCCTCTGGAGCATCTCTAACTCGATCAAGTATCTCTCTATCTACACAATTTGCTTCCCCAGCCTCAGGCTCAGCCTCACTTTCGTATTAAGCAGCTCGTCTACCAGTCTTGGTAGTTGCCGCCCAGGTGATGCCATGGGTGTTTCCATCGTTAACCGGGGCATTGCCGCCGTGAGTGTCTCCGCAATAGTTGTCTCGGTCGCGAGTTCCAGTTCCAGTTCTAGTTCTAGTTGGAGTAGCAGTAGCAGTAGCAGTACCAGTTCCAGTTGGAGTACCAGCAGGAGTGGCAGTACCAGTTCTCTCAACCAGTTCGATCGCCGGACCATTTCCATCCTCACCGTACACAGTTTCGTTGGCTTGTTGACCAGATGAAGACGCCGGCTCCTCCACCCTCCATTCACGTGGCACATTTCCGACAACACGGTTGCGCCAGTCGAGGTCGCCAGTCCAGATCTTGTAGACCACCAAGATCACGCTAGTGATGAACGCCAATGTGGCCATGCTCAGACCAACCAGCGAACTCCATCCGAAGGTTTCTTTGATCGTGTCGATCGTCGCTTCAAAGAGTGTTGGCGTGGTTCCATTCCGGATGAATGTATAGCCGAGCAACGCGACCCGGGCATCTTCGTGATCAGGCCTGGTGTCACTGGAGTAGAGATTGGGGAACTCGGCAAGATCTTTTCTGATCGCTTGGAGTTCCCAGCGCGGACCCAGAGTCATGAAGAGGTTTCCCGTTCCAGTCAGAGCAATGGCTGCGCCGAGGTATGCTGCGAATTGGATGAAGCTTCGATTATGGTAAGGATGACGGTAGCTGGCTCGTTCGGGTCCCATGGATGAATTGGCGGGTTGAAGGACGTCGATGATCTGATGAGCCAAGGACAGAGTCATGGCTGACCACCAGCCAATACTTGCCAGCGAGAACTGTTGCAGGATGCGTGGCATTCCAGACGGTTCAGGGAAGAAGGTCGGGGTGTTGAGAAACAAGATTGCGGTTCCCGCCATGAGGAATATACCGGTTCCGAGACTCCAGATACTGTAACTTGGAACCAGAGGGTATGATGTGACCAGACCACTTCCCACATAAACGGGGACGAGGAGGGTAGGGATCAGGTGAGGAGCACTGAAGTTGAAGAAGAGGTAAACAGCGGTATCCACTGCCGAACCTTTGGCTCCAGAAAGCAGTTGATACAGGGCTGTATATGGGAGGGTGGTTTGCAAGATGCCACAGATGAAGCAGGTGAGCATGAACAATGCCATGGATTTGATGTGGCGGCAGTATCCGCAAGGAAACAGACGTGCCCATGGTTCATTGTTGGCGAACATGGTTTGTTGGATGACCAGCGATACCAACACTGCCCCACCAACCGAGATCGGAACGTAAGTGTAGCTGTCGTACCATGATGCGTAAGTACCCGCCAGATTGATTGAGATAAACAAGGTCATAAGGCCTGTGAAGCTGAGAACACTACCAAGGGTGTCCATCTTCAAGGACAAGACGCGCCAGGCGAGGGTACCTTGGGGAGACCAGGTCGAGACTGCCAGTGGAACATGGAGACGGTTCGGAAGGATGTATACCAGTGGCACGAAAACCAGAGCCAGCAACATAAAAGTCGTGTAGAACGCCCAGTCCCAGAAACGGTGTCTTGCAGCAAACAAACTTCCGAGGAAAGGGCCCAGGATGAGACCAATAGCACCACTGACAAGGACAAAGAAGTCACGTCTGGACTTGTCGGTGAATGAGCCTTCGTGATCCAAGAAGATCATTGCTCCCATCTTAAGCCCAGCCATGCCAATTCCTTGGACAAGTCTGGCATAGAAAATGAACAACATGTTGGAAGCGAGAGCCGGAGAAATGGTGCCAATCAAGAACAGGACGGCGAAAAGCGCGTAGACCTGTTTGAAGGGGAAGACACCATAGAGCTGGCCAGCTGCAAGAGTTGTGGCGGCAGCTCCAGTTGCCACTCCAGCCAGAACCCATTGAAATCCTTGAATGTCCAAGTCATACATGATCTCCGGGAGCATGACAGGCAGCATGGTGTCGACCATGGTACAGATCAAGTTGACCAGTGCCAGAAGCACGGCTGTCACAATCCATCTCTTGTTTCTTGCCGGGGTAGACTCATCATCACCCGGGTCCTCTCTAAGAGTGGTGGCAGAGAACAAATCATGGGCAAAGCGAGAAGTCGCACAAACAGTGGCTTGATAGAATCGACTGGCATCGCCGAATAGAGTAGATTGATTGGGGTTTGCATTTTCGGGGACCACAACCTCTTCTACAGTGACGCTCTGCTGGACACGGATGACTCCTTCGGCGGGCTGAGATTTGGGTGGCGGTGGGCCACGGCTTGCGGACGAGGAGGGAGGCCTGCTCAGCGATGGTGGGGTGAGGGAAGCCATTGCAGCGGTTTGATGCTGTGGGATGGTGAGGAATGATCAGCCAGAAGAGAAAAGGGGTTGATTGGAGACACAATGATGTGGATGAAGAGATGGTGTTGAGGAGAACCAAAGCACCATGATTTGGTTTGGGAGAAGATGGATCGACGGGTGAGATGCAACTTGCGACTTGATCTTTTCTCTTGTCTCGGCATACACACACAGTTGAAAAAAATGATGCGGCAGAGATCGCCTTGATTAAGATCGCGATGGGGAGCGAAATAGATGCGTTGCGCGGCTGTAAGTAATTGTGTTAGTGCCTTGCTTCGACTGATTCACTTTCTCTACCTTCCCTTTGGTGATAATGTGACAATAGAAGGAAGTTAGAACCCGCGGCTATATCAACAAGAGAGCCAATAGTAGCTGTGGTGTTCCTGAGTAAATAGAAATTGTGGATAGTGAGTGATTGAATCATTTCTTGGTGTTGGTGTTGTGACACTTTTTTTCAACCAAGCACAGTCAGAGCCTGGAAGCGTCGTCTCTTTCACGACAGGAAGGTCTCCATTGGATATAGGCACTCAAGTTGTGACTTCTAGCGGAAGATGAATCAGAGTTGGAAGACGTGGCCTGTCTGTGACACAAAAAATGAATTCTTCTCCTGTTTTTTGTTCCCTTTTTGCTGTTGTAAGACGTGAGGAGCGCGACTGCCTCATCAATTCTCGTGTCTCATTCAGACCAATCAACGCGCGTATCTTCCAATGCTGCCTGGAACTTAAATAAAACAACAGAGAATTGTCAAGTTGCAAGATTGCAAGATTGCAAGATTCCAACTCCTTTACCTTCTCATTGTTCTGGTCATCCTCTTAGTGGAACTGCTCTCAAACCAAACATCCACCTGTTGTCAGTAGACGGTGTTCAATCACCATGACCACTCTCAAGTCTTCCAGTCCTACTCCCTTCAGTCCAATGACTGGAGGGTGTTACTGCGGCCTGATCACCTACACACTTACAGCTTCACCAATCTTTGTTAATTGTTGTCACTGTCGCAATTGTCAGAAACTCTCTGGTTCAGCATTTGCCATCAACATCATGGTCGAGGCGGCAAACGTGAGAGTCACCTCTGACACTCAGCCTCGCGAAATCCACGATGAAGATGGCAAAGGTAGTGAAGCAGTCCGATGTCCTCGAGACAAATGTGGAACTTTGCTATGGGCGACTCATCCACATTTCACCAACAAAATCATCTTTCTACGAGCGGGCACTCTTGACAAGAATGAGGAAATTGTACCTGATGCTCATTTCTTTGTGAGAAGCAAACACCCATGGGTCACCGTTCCTACAGGAGCTGTACAGTTTGACGGTGTGCCTGGAAAAGATGACCCTCCTATCTGGGATGCAGACACAAAGGGGCGAATTGAGAGTGCAACTCAGGCAGAGTGAGGGAAGAAGGTCCATCTGCTCAAATGGAGATGGATGGGAGGGTAGCGCGCTGGTGTGCTTCGTTTAGTGTAGCATCTCATCGAGTCTTTCATGATGAAAATGGACTGATATGACCAGGTAGTCAGGGATAAGAGAGCTCATAGGATGATAAAAGCAGGAAAAGGGTTAGGAAATACGGAGTACGTGATCAGGATATTACTTATGTAAGCCGCCGTCGCCGCGTGACCTTCCCTCCTGCTGGGAAAGACCGTGAGGCGCCCCATCGCTCCTTCCCCCACCACTTCCGGTCTTGGCCCTCCCGCTCTGTTTGAACCTCGTGTGACTTTCGCCCTCCCTTCTTCATCCCTAAACATCTCCTTCACCTTCAGACATCTTCACTGACCGGCCTCGTATCCGAATATCCAACTATTCCTTAGATGTCGAGATGGGAACCAAAACTCCGCAGAACAGGAATCATTGGAACAACGGTAAGTACCATGAACCTTTCCTCGTAATCGAACCTCAATCTTGACCGATTAAGATGGCCCTCCAAATGCCAATGGAGCCGGGCACCTCGGTGGGGAAGCACGGGGCGCTCATACATCCAGAGACGGGGATGGATCTCTCGGAGAGGGCGGAGGCGACGACGATAGCGACGGAGATGGCGACGACAATGCACACGGAACCAACATGATCCTCCCCCAAGCTTCCGTTTCCCAAGCCGAAGCAACCAAACCACAGAAGAAGAGAAAGAAGTCCAAGAAGAAGAAAAAGGCAGTGAGTATTCCTCAGCAACAAACCTCACCGCCAAGTATCTTGCTCAGCGACCTCTTCCCATCCGGTGTCTACCCTGAGGGTGAAGTACAACAGTACTCCAAGGCATCCATCCTCGCCGCTGAACGCCGTTATGACATTACACAACTGTCCAACGATGACGTCTTCCTTCAAAACTATCGTCAGGCCGCCGAGGTGCACCGCCAAACTCGAAAATGGGTACAAGACACTGTTAGACCTGGGCAATCCTTGTTGCACATCGCCGAAGGAATCGAAAATAGTGTTCGGACGTTGTTGGGACATGCCGGATTGGATCCTGGTGATAGCCTCAACGCAGGCATGGGCTTTCCCACCGGCCTCTGCCTCAACCATCAGGTTGCGCATTACACACCTAACCCAGGCCAGAAGGATGTCATTCTCCAGCAAGAAGACGTCATGAAGGTCGACTTTGGCGTTCATATCAATGGCTGGATTGTGGATAGCGCGTTCACCATGGCTTTCGATCATACATATGACACCCTCTTAACTGCGGTGAAGGAAGCTACCAATGCTGGCGTCAAGGCAAGGCCAGGAGAACAACCACCCAATGAGACACGTGACTGACGAGCATCTAGGCCGCTGGCATCGATGTGCGTATCTGTGACGTTAGCGCTGAAATCCAAGAAACCATGGAGAGCTATGAGGTGGAAGTCACGGGCAAAACGTATCCCATCAAGCCGGTGCGAAACATTACAGCACACAACATCAAGCAGTGGCGCATTCATGGCGGCAAATCCATACCATTTATCAAGAACTCGGACCAGACCAAAATGGAAGCAGGCGAGGTCTTTGCCATTGAGACATTCGGTACAACCGGCCGTGGTTATCTGCGTGATGATGTGAGCCTGCGCCCTCGACTCTACATTCAAACTTGTGCACTCATGTTTAATGGTATATCAGGTCGGAATATACGGCTACGGCCTGAATGATGACGCCCCATTGAGGATCCATTCCCCATTGCCCTCGGCAAAAAGGCTGCATAAGACCATTAGAGAGAATTTCGGAACTGTGGTCTTTTGCCGTCGATACCTTGAGAGACTCGGCGTTGACAAGTATTTGGTCGGTGTATGGACCCCTTTTCTCCCTTTTGATCTTGATCGGAGCTAATTGACATCAGATGAACCAGCTCATCTCCAATGGAGTGGTGGAGCCCTATCAACCCTTGATGGACATCAAAGGCTCCAACGCCGCCCAATTTGAACATGTAAGCTGCAGTTGGGCTCCGAAACACTTTCCACCAGCTGACCTGCTTCGTAGACGCTCATCTTGCGTGAAACACACAAAGAAATTCTCAGTCGTGGAGACGATTACTAGCGAGACCGCGGTCTTGGACCTTTCCTGCTGTCGTGCCTTTTTATTGTCTTAGCCCTTGGTGCTGGTTTTCATCCCATGATTGGGTTTCCCAGCACTGTGACGCAAATGCGAAGGGATTAGTCTTGTATCTAAAGTACTTTCGTTGCATGAAGAATTTGATTCCATCCATTTCAATGAGGACTTCTGCCGACCATGTGCTACGCCTTCAGCCTTGCGATGGACCTTACTTCAGGAGGGAGAAACCCAACAAGGCAACATTATACCAACAACAGTCGACACTCCATACTTGTAAAACTCTTCACTATTGTGCAGCTGGCTATGAGGCTCCTTTTTGACGCAAATTCAAGCTCTGGCAGGAATCATCGCGAAGCCACCACTCAGACTTTTGCAGAACAGACCATGACAGCATGGAGTGTTCGATAAACGGCTATTTAACCTAGAATCTTTGCCAAATTCTCAACCTGATCATCAACAACTACCTTCAACTATCTTTCAGCAACTCGAACATCTTCAAAATTGCGATATCGACAGACACTTTGTTCTAAAGAAAATCGAATATTCAAGGATCTAGCCTAATTCTCTCTTCTAGACCCTTGACATTAGCTTAACACAACCATGTGCATGCAATGGGTCAACGTATGGTGGTGCGGCTGCAAGACTCCTGAGTCCAAGCCCTGCGGTAAAGAAAAGTGTACTGTCACGACGGGAGATGAGGTTCGGCGAACCCGAGTCTGTGGCCAAAAGACTTGTCCGGAGAATGGGAAACACAAAGGAAACTATCTTTCCCAGGAGGCCGCAGATAGGATCCACGAGTGGAATGATAAGGCTTAAGGGCAAGATTGGTCCAATACACTGGATCACTATCTGTAACAACTGGCCCTTTCGACGGCCAGCAGGTCACAGTAGCGATAGATCTCCTGCCCCAAGCGGATCTAATAGTCATGTTAAGATAGTGACACCTAATAGAGGACCTAGCCAAGGCGATAGATCCTTGTAACAAGATGTAAGGTATACCTCAAATCTCTAATGAGTCTTTCATCCAACGAGTACACATGACAGATGATTGACGCCGAGTCATGGCATGGTTTGTTTCTTGATGAGAGTACAAAGCTTTTCTAGAATCTTTCTCTCAACTATTCTTCGCAATTCTTAGAAATCCCAGAACTTGTCGTTTAGGAACCCCCAGTCGAACAACACTTGAGACCCCCTGGAACAAGTCATCACCTTACTTCTTAGCAAAATGTGTAAAATCGTTGAGCGCGTATACAGCCAGTGTAACCACCACGAAACGTACGCAACTCCGTGTCGGGACCGATGTCTCAACCACGAACGGAGCACCGTAGTCCTCGAAGGCCACTGTACTGCATGCAGAAGCCACGAGGATTAGGGATCCGACCGCGCTCGAGCAGGCAGCGGTTCCTTGTATTCCGGGTCTGAATATCACGCCGACAACAACAGCCAAGCCGCTTACTCTGATACTTCAGATATAGAGGGTGGCCCCTCGAGAAGAGACTACTCTGATGACCCCGCGGAAATCCTCCGTGCAAGACACGGAAAGAAGCGACACACGTCTTCGGACACCAGTCGTCGTAGCAGTCAGAAAAGTGATCAAAAGGCCAAGCAATCAGAAAGATTAAAGATATCAAAGCAACCAAAGGAAGACCACGACCAGAAGAGACGTGACGGGGATGAAGATGAAGATGAAGATATCTTTGACTTCGAAAACTAGGTCCACGATGTGACTGAGATCTAGGTCGGAATAACGGGCTTTTATGTTGATGAGCTGTTCCTCATCTCCAGATGATCGTGGGATATGAAATCGCATACCAATGGATATAGATCCGAGATCCAAAATGATACACTGTGTTAACCAGAGTATGCCTAGAAACCTTCCTCCAGAAGAGTCTCCTTGTTACCTCTTTCAAGCTCGTCAATTTGTTTTCGTAGCACATCTGCTCTGAATGACTTGAACGCCTTTTCTAGACGAGCCTTGGTGGTAGGGTCATTACTGATCGTTCTCCTCGCCGACCAACTCCCCGTCAGTAGACCCAATTCACCACCAACAAACAACCCTCCAAGTCCAAAAAAGGTATACGCGGCGATGTCGCCCACAGGCGTCGGCTTCAGCAGCGGAGTGACATCAGGGATAGCTTCCTCCCTCCCATCGGCAAAGCGCACTGCCACAGGCTTCTCTCTTGCACGGAAGGCCTGGTACATCTTGGTCCGGTTGGCCCGGACACGAAATGCGAGGTAGCCACCAAAAGCAATGCCAGCGAGCGACCCAATGAGGGCGTGAGTCGAGAATTTCGAGGCGGCTTTTCGGACTAGGTCGCGATCTTCTTCGTTCAGACTATACAAATTAGTACTTAGATGTCTTGGTTAAATGGGATCAACACGATCGTCGCTCTTACTCATGCTTGAAGTGGTCCTCGGCGAGCTTGGCTAGCTCGTCACCTTGGCTTCTGCGCAGTGCTGCAAATGATGCTGCCGACATCTTTTTGGGGATTGCTGTTGACCTTGACGTTTCTCGGATTAAAGACTCTTGATACTAGTTGCCTTGATGAGAGTAAATAGTGAGTGACACTGGACACTCAAGAGCGCTATTGATATATTACAAGATGGTCGGAGCTTGGGCCCGATTGTTTAATCCTTACGTCATATCATGTGGCGACGGAACGCTCTTCCACATGCGGCTTATCGATAATGCCACGTGATGAAATGGCTATCACGTGTCGTCCTTTGTAACGTCTTCGAACCTCATCCATGAGCATTTTTCAATACTGATAAAGAGGATTCCCGCTCCCCATGACCATTCTCTCCAACTCCCTCCCTCTATACCTCCTCTTCTCAACCGCAGCCTTCTCTCGAACAAATCCCATTTCCCGTTTTCCCCTCCGCAGCCCCACTTTCGGCCACACCTACAGCACGTACTCCGAGAGGACAAAGTCAGATGCCCTGAGATATTTTGAGGGGTAGACAGTGTGCGTGACTACTAAGGACTATAGCGCAATTACTCAATCAATGCCATTGGTCCAGGTTCTGCGGATAGATAGCGGGGCAGCCACGTAGAAAAGTCCAGTTGTGGACTACCCTAGACGTTATGGGCGCCCTTAATTCGACATACAACTTCATCCACAGCAAATTTACCCCGGCGAGTCCTTTCCCATTCTCGAACGATTACAGCATGTCTGAACCGACCAACACGTAACCCTCATAGGTATAGTAAAAGACTAAACACCCGTGGCTCTGAGTTCAAATTCACGCTTGCCGCCTTCTCCAGATCACTCCAAACCATAAGCTTTCCGGAGCTTGGGGGAGACGAAGGCCCCCATCAGGCTGTCCTGGAGACTCGACGGCGCAATGCTTGGAAACCTGTCGTTGTCCCAAGGAAGCGGGAGCAGAGTTCCCTGTCGTCCCTGAATTAATTTGTGGCTTGCAGCAAGTTCCGCCCCGACATCGCCGCTCTGCTTGGCCGCTTGTTCTTCAAGCTGCGCCTCTTCGACATCTAGATACTCGACCTGGTATTCCCTGCCTGTCACCGTCTTCAAGGTGTCGAACAGCGTCGCATACGACGGTGAGCTCTCGGAGAACCGGTAGGTCCTCCTCCCTGCATCCGCCACACTCAATGGATCTAGCAGAGTCTGGACGGTGTACGCTGCCGCATCTGTTGCATTGATTAGACTCTGCTTTCCATCTGGGGTTCCATAGATTCGGGCGCGTGAGGCCCGGTTGTCGAATCCAAAATGTGAGAGCACAGCCCACTCGGTCAACCGACCAAATAGCACATACGTCCATCCCAGCGCAGGCAGATCTTTCGCACGTTGCTCCAGGTGTTGTCGCGTTCTGACCTTCTCGACATAGTATCTCTGCGTCCAGTTCTGTCCGACAAGAATGTCCGCGCCAAACTCGCTGGGGTAGAAGTGACGGACGCCTGCGGCAATGGCACTGTCGATCAGTTGAGGTTGCAGATGCAGACCGTAATTTCCAAGGAAACTCATAACGCAGTCGAAACCCGTGAAAGGATCTGGACTCTCGAATCCTTTGCCTTGAACAACCTCTATGCCTGCCTGCTTCAGTCGGTCGAGAAGGGGCATTTTGGCCGAGTTGTCGCGGTTCAGATCAAGATAGACTGCAATTCGACTAAATGATTGCTTTGACTTGACCAATTCTCGGAGCACAAATTGGCCGAAACCATATTCGCTGGCCGCACCGACTAGCAAGACCGCTCGCAACGGCCCAGATCCGGTGCTTGTTGGTGTTGTCTCCGTCATGGCTTTGGGGGTATGCGTGCTGCCTTCGAATTGATAAGGAGACAGAGCTCGGTCGGAATGGCATTTCGTAAGCTACTGATGTGGGAGTCGATACTTATATAGAACAACTCCGGCCATCGCTTGAAAGGTCCGTCCGTCAAACATGCTTCTGGCGAACCGCGGCTTTGTCTTGATGATCAATGTCGTTTGGCTCAAAGCAGTAATGACTGATGCGACCTACAACATTTCCTTGATCATAAACTCACGCCCTTGCCTAATTCACGAATTAACAATCCATCATTTGTTGTGGACCGGAGGCCGAGGTTTGCAATCGCGTCGGTCGATCATTGTGCCGCACTGGTTGCACCGCACCGTACGTTTGTATGACGGTGCAATTAGGATCGTATATCGCGACCGACTCGGCCATCAGGCACCATAAAGTATATATTCCACAGGGTTGTAATTGATCATGACAATAAGGCAGTAGTATCTTCCAAGGTCCCACTTTTTACACATTCACGAAGACTGATGGCATTGCTCGGGCCGAGAGGTGGTCGCACTGTGGATTCAGCCTTGGCCGAGTTTTGGTAGGATGTTCGGAGATAAGGCTTGGCCAACCTTGGTACTCTGAAAACACCTCTATCCTGACACCTTACCGCACTCTGTACGGGTGAATGCTTGGTGACAGCTCCGAACTCAAGCCAGTCTCCAGTAGCCGATAGGTGTGACATCGCTGGTGGAGCTGAGCTGCCCAGCACCAACCAGTCGTTCTAGCCTTTGCACGTTGGTGCTAAAGCTCAACTCCACCAGCGATGTCACACCTATCAAGAGAGGAAGATGAAGGACCGAGGCTCGTAGGCACACAGAATTCGCAATGCCATGAGCCTTGCGAGACAGACATTCGCATCCTATACCAAGCTACGAGGTCGTTGGAGAAAAGAGAACTTGATGACGTGTCAGTCAACGATCATGTGTCGTGTTGGGCCGAGGATGTTTTTGCCAACAGACAAATACTTGTATGTAAACCAGCAGGGGTCCATATAGACGCGCTGTTTAACAGAATTTGAACATCCATCTGCACCGACTTTGCCACAACACAACATACCTATCAAGAGTACCATATTCGACCTTCGGTTTTACGACCTTTGACAGAAATGGATGGAAAGTCCCAGTCTGAGAGCGATGGCAATCGCCCTTCGATCTCGTCGGCGGCCAAAGAAATCCTGGAGACCCTCCTCATCATGAATGCGAACCTGGACATGCCAGCGGCAGTGACCGACTATGCATCTGCCGTCACCTTCACGCCGGACGTCTCTTCGTTCCTGCCAACACCACTGAAAATGTCCGAGTCCGCCTCTGCCCTGTGGGCGTGCATCGGCCTATTCGCCAGTGCGATCTGCCGAGAACGCTACAATGCTGGAGAGCCCAAGACGATCGTGGTGGACGTGTACTCGGCGACGCTGATGCTCTGCTCGGTCTTCCTGTTCCAGGTCAACGGGAAAACCTTCATCGAGAGCCAGGTGGCACCCAGAGCCCTCTACCTCGACAAAGGACGCAACCGCGAGATGTACAGAAATCTGTCATCAAATATGTAAGACATACTGGCGGCCCTACGAACATCATTGACAGTTTTCAGGTACAAGACGAAGGATAATCGGTACTTCCACTTACATGGCAGCCTCGACGCGACACCCACGCTGCACATGTTGGACCTGCCCCAGCACCGTCCCGATCTTCAAGGCCTTGAACATGTCCCCGCGATCAAAGACATCTACCGCAACGTCATCGCCTCAAGAGACAGCCTATCCCTCGAGATTGAGGCCAACGAGCGGTGGCACATGCCCGGCGGGACCTGCCGCACCGTCGATGAGTACGCAGCCACGCCGCATGGCAGCCTGAACATCCAAGAGCCGCTCTACCAGATCTACAAGACCCACGAGCAGCTGCCGCCCACATCATGGCCCACCAGCGACAGCCCGAAGAGCGGCCCCCTGGCAGGCATTAAAGTGCTCGACTTGACCAAAGTGATTGCCGGCCCAACGGTGACGCGCGTGTTGGCCTTGATGGGCGCAGATGTCCTGCGCGTGTCCACAGACACTCAGCCGGACGCGATCCCCTTCATCGCGGACGGCCAGCTCGGCAAGCGGGACGTCAATATCAACCTAAAGACTCTCGAGGGGAAGGCTCAGCTCGATGAGCTCCTTAAGGACGCCGACGTGGTTGTCAACAGCTACCGGCCTGGTGTCTCTGAGAGACTGGGACACGGTCGGAACTGGGCCCACGAGCTCGCCCGGCGTCGCGGCAAGGGGCTCGTTTACTGCCGGGAGAACTGCTACGGCTGGAAAGGTGAGTGGTCTCATCGGGCTGGATATCAGCCGATTAGCGATTGTGTAAGTTTGTGAGGCGGCTCCTCGGATTGAATCGATAGGCTAATTGAGTGGCCAGGTCACAGGCGCGTCTTGGGAACAAGGGCAGTTCCTGGGCCTTGACGAGCCGGTCATGCCGCTGTTCCCCAACTCGGACTCCCAGTAAGTTTGCCAAGTGACATATTTGTGGGCAAGGATCTGACTATACGCACCGTAGGACTGGACTCACAGGCGCGATCGCAGTAATGCAGGCTCTGTATAGGAGGGCGTCGGAGGGCGGCTCCTACAATGTTGACATTGCGCTGAACACATACAACAACTGGCTCCTGCGGGATGTCGGTCTCCACGACAAACAGGCGCAGGCGTCGCTGCGGGCCCTGCACCCACAATTCCTGCCTAAACACGATACCGGATTCTTTGAGATGATCCCAATGGTTTTGGGAAGTACCCAGAGATCCAATGGCGCGGGACCCGGTGAACTGTGGGACCGAGCCAGATGGACGAAAGGTGTCATCCGATGGGGTGTGGAGGGGGAGGAAGCAACCTATCTTGACTGGAGACGCATAGTAACCGTGGAAAGCGGAGTGGAGGGAGGAGAAGTTGTGTTTGATTTCAAAAACGGGTCGTGTATGCCAGGATCAGATGAAGCGGGGTGGCTTTAGAGCGGGATCGAAGTGGACTCGAACAAGAGAGCAGGGCCTTGTCAGATAGGTTTGGCAAGTTCAGAAGCAGGCATCCATCATTATCATCTCCTTCGATGCCGCATAGTCCGAAACTGTGCTTCCGTTGCTAGTATACATGGGCAGTGGTTTGAGAAGAGTACAAGCACAAATCTGAACGCCGTGCGAATAGTGGCTGTGAGGGCACGAAGGTCGCTATCGTGGGAATCAGGAAATGCATAGTCCTCTAAATTTCGACTGGGCCAATCGCTCCCTATGCTCTTTCATCGAAAAGAAACTCAACAAGTCATTGGTGCCGTTAGCGTGCCTGAATCCACTCCCATATCCACCGCGATAGGCACACCATATTGAATTCGGAGCAAACGACCCAGTGTCTCGACGCCCGCCAAACAAGACGACGGCACCGGCTCATCTCTCCATGAACGGAGATTCGAGCTCGCAGACATCAATTCTGCCAACTGTCGGAGAAGGCGACCGGACAAAATATCATGTAGAATGACCTCAAACGCCGCAATGAGTATTGAAGACGCCTTGAAAGCGCGAATGATCTCCCAGGACAGTTTGGAAATGGGTGAAAGCTGCCGGAGCTTGAGATAGGCGCTGGTGACCGAGCAAAATTTCGAAACCATGTCGCGAAAGTGGTGCCGTCGTCCCTCAGTTGAACGCGTCACTGCTACGGCAGCTTGAAGATGCAGTGTACCCGCAAAGAAGTCCAGGTGCATGGTGAAGACAAGTTGCTCAATGGTCGCCTGCACTGAACTGGGACGGCACAGAGTTGACTTGTCGCTGCGTGCAATTTGCCCCAATTGAGCGATATGCTCCAAGTACGAGTCCACGACGTCCCCTGGAGTCAATACACGGTTGTCGTGGCCCCCGAGCGACTGCCATTGGATTTGTAGGCAGTACAAGTCAAATAGGCAATCCCAGAACTCAAGGCGTTGAGCGCGAATGAGGGACTGTAGGCGGCTGTGGCCGTCCGGAAAGGAGGTCACCGGGACACGATCGTAGATCATTGACAGTCTACTATCCAGAATCAGAATGGCTCTCCACAAAGGGTGCAAGGTCTCGAGACACTCGCAGGTGGGTGAGCTGCAAGCGCATTCGCGCCTTGTATGCATGCCCAAACCCTGTGCTTGCTGGACAGCCATGCCGAGCATGCTCATGGTGACGCCGGGATTGCCGTCGTTGCAATTGACACTGGCGAGAATCAAGAGGGCCTGGATCGTCTCTGAAGAAGGACTGACGTACAAGTTGGCGAGGCCTAGACAATCGAAGGAGCAGGCCACGAACACGCGGGTGTAAAGAGCGAGCTGGTGATCGCCTTCGGCAGCAAGGCAGCTTTGGCAGCCTGCCGCAAGGGCTGCAAAGAGCAAGGCATACCCGACCAGCTCAGCACGCGGTAGATGAGCGGCCAGCTCTGTCTGTGTCGGAGAAGACGACGGTTCGTCTGCTTTTGCTACGAGCCGCTCGAGCACGATGCAAAGGTTGCGCTCGAATGCTCCAATGTCTGGAATCACAGGGAAGAATGGATGACAGGTCTGCTGGTAGGCGCGATAATACCGCAAACAAGCCTCGGGCGAGGGCAAAGAGTGCAGAATGTCTCCGATGGTGACGCGGGCGGTGGTGTTCCAGAGCGACACAAAAGGCTGCGAGACTGAACGATTGGTCAGACCAAAGATGGCCTCGACCGAAGCTGAAGGAGGAATTGACTGCTCGGGGAGATACGACAGGAGCGTGCGGAAGAAGGTAGCGTGTGCACGGCGGCCGACAAAGGTCACTTGGCCAGTGACGGTGTCCGTCTCGCAGCTCGCCATTGCACCAACGGCCATGTGGTCGAGTATGGCGAGCAGGTCATCTGGCGCAGTATTAGACGGACCTTCCGCGTCATTAGTGCCGCTCTGCGCCGGCGTCGGCAGGCCTGGGTCAGGACCCTCGAGACTATTAGAGGAGCTCCGGCAGGCTGGGCGCTCGAGGATAGGGTACAATGGCTCTTGGACGGCAGCGGGTGCCTTGTCGTAGCTGCAAAACTGCGGATGATGGCGCCGCACGCATGTACTACAAGGCTGTCCATAGTCGCAGCGCACTTTTCTTGCCCGACAAGTGCGACAAGCTTTCGGCCTGCGATTGCGTCGTCCCTCCTCGGGGCGAGGCGGTCCCTCAGTCGTTGGTGTCATCACACTTCTTTGTGAGCCATGTCAGGGTATATTGAGAGAGTTGGAGAGCTGAGGTGCAGGACAGAGAAAGTCGAGGATTTCGGTCCGAGGATGTTAGTCGAGTTCGGCGTTAGTCAGGCCGAAGACTAACTAGGTTAGACCACCATTCACTCCATCTCGGTCAATTTGCAACGTGCATTCCAAAACGCCTTGGTGAGGCCGAAGGGCACTCTAGATTGAAATAGAGCGACTGGCGAGGTACCGAGCGTCAGCACCATTACCAGAATGCGGACAAACCCAGAGCCCGACACGGAGCAACTCTTTCACCGAATCCAAGCCGAGGCTTGCCTACGGCGTCTTCATGCGACGACATGGGTAACACCACAGCTACGGGTACGAGATACGAAGATGACACTCTCGTAAGGCGTCAAAATCTGCATTTCCTTAACCCTGCAGCATGGGGTACATTGAGAAGAGGCTAGTTTCTGGCAACAATGTGTGTGTTCACACAGTCACATCTGGCCATTCTGACCTTCAAGGCATATTAGCGAGTAAATTCCACACTTTTCTAGACAAGTAGCCACCAGCAGCTTCTCAATCGCCAAAAGTCTCACGGCATCATGCCTACAGAACCCATTGTCTTTCAGCGGCTGTCCGACACGACAGCAATATACGAGCCTTCGCCTGACGCGGCTACGCCAGCCAACGCAGGTCCCACGACCATCCTCATCTGTGGGTGGATGGGCGGCACCGCCCGAAATCTGAGCAGATACACCACAAAATACAACACTCTATACCCAGATGCTCGCATTGTACTGATCTCCAGCACGCCCACAGACACTCCTGGCTTCAGGATACTCCTTTCGTCCAAGAAACGAAAGCAACGAGCAGACGCTCCAGCAAAGGCACTTCTCCTCGACGCTCAGGCAGAAGTATCAAGCCTGCTGATCCACGCCTTCTCAAACGGAGGTGGCATGAGCTTGGGAGTCATCAGTAAAGCCTACCGCCAGCTCTCAGGGACGGCCCTCCCTGCTCGTCTGGTCGTGTTTGACTCTGTACCGGGCGGGGATAAATTCACCAAGGAATTCGGCAGATGGGTCAGTGCCTTTGCAGTCGGGCTCCCTTCGAACATCTTGATACGCTGGCCTGCACTAGTTTTGCTTGGACTCGTGGTGGCTGTCCAACTTGGCCTGCCTTCGCTTTTTGGCACGGCGAATGCGGCGACCAAGGCGAGGGCGGATTTGAACGACGAGAAGCTCATCAACCCACAGTCGAAGCGACTGTACCTCTACTCCGAAGCCGACGCTTTGATCGGGGCGAATGAAGTCAGGGAGCATGCTGCTGAGAGCGCTTCAAAGGGCTGGTCTGTCGAGACTATCAACTTCCAGACCAGCGGTCACATCAGGCACGCGATCGAGGACCCAGAGAGGTACTGGAAGGCCATCACGGAGTTGTGGAACTCATCTGTTCAACCCAAGAAGGCTGTGTGAGGTGGTATGGCCAAATGGTCGCCACATGCCCGGCTAGCCCCCATCAACAGCAGTTGCCTCGTGAACAGTGAACCGCTCGCTTCACAGACGTGAAAGGCAGCGGATATGGCGCGAAACCCGACCGGGCGCGGCAGTCCATTTCTTATCGATAAGACCATGTGATGGTAACGTCTTTCGCGTGCTTCGTCTACAAATCACGCGTCATCCGACGTAACTCCTTCGAAGCTCATCCATTAATACTTTTTAATGCTGATTATTACTTCCTATCTCACTTTTGACTGCCCAGGTATATTCTGTTTTCTCCCATTCATGGCAGCCATGAGCTAGAGATCTACCCCATCTACACGGTAATCCATCTCGCCATCCAAGTGTCGATGATCTCTTTGGCTTCATCGACCAACCCAAGCTCCAACAGAAGCTGTGTCGTACCTCTGACTGCTGAGTCAAGAGCCGAGAAGATCCAGGCGTGTGTGTAACTTGTGTGCTCGCCAACAAAGATGCTGTTGTACTCGGTTTCATAGTATGCAGGCAAGTACAATTCCTGTTGTCCCAAGTACGGGGCAGCCCATGCACCGGCCTGGTGTTCATCCACCTCCCAGCATTGTCGGTCATAAATGCCGGTGAATTCTTCCGCTGCCACTTGTCCGTGGGCCTCGACCATGGCTCTTTGCACGAGGGCGACGTGGTCTTCGTCGGACAGAGCTGCTACAGATCGTGCCGGTTGTCCAGATGCGTATGAGGCGAGCAAAACGCCAGGTCCCGTCGAGTTGATTTGATATGCGGGATAGCACACCGAGCCAATTCCATAAATGTCAGTGCCACCACATCCTCCAATGATAGGTGGGTCAAGGTGCTCCCAGAATCGAGTCTTGTAATGCAACGCCACTTTGCATGATTGCTGGTAGTTCATGGTAGTGATGGCACGGGTGAGGAGTGAGGAGTATGTTGGCAATCGCCAGGTACGGACCTTGGAGAAAGGTACTGCTACAACGGCGTAATCATACTCTTCAGATTCTGGAACTTGGGCAAATGGATCATCTCTCCAGTTGACAGCAATCTTCCCAGTCTCCTCATTCCACTTTAGCCCATCGACCTTTCTTTCGAATGTGGTCTTGCCGGCAATGTGTGGCACAAAAGCCCGTGGAAGTGCAGACAGTCCCTTGTCGATGGTTCTCCATGTCGAGGCAGAAAAGTACACACCATCATAGATGGAGCCCCAAAGGGGCGAGATACCTGCACCTGCTAGGAAGTCGGTCAGATTGGCATCCAATCCGAGCTGATATCGGTAGTAGTTGGCCTCTGACCAGTGGAAGAGTCCATCTTCGATCGCTTGTTTATGTGCTTGGTAAACGTTCGCTCCAGCAGCTCGCAGCTTATCTGATGTGATGTTGACAAAATCTGAGAAGTCTTCTCTCGCCTCTGCGGCGGCATCAACATCTAATGCTTGAGGTGCAGGGTTGGCCAAAGAGGAATTGGCGCGAATTTGTGCTGAGCTAGGAATACGTCCATCAGGCAGACGGAATCCTCGCGAGTTGGCTGGAACATTGGGAGATGACTGGATCCAGGGAATAAAGTTCACAGCCAGCTCGGACTCGTTGCCCCCGTTCATTGCGTTGAGCACGTCTGCGAGCTGGAACACCATCTTGTGGTCTTGGATATCCAGAGTCTCATTGGTGTCAGTATACCGAACGGAGACGGGAAATCGCATGGGTCCCATCTCCTGATACTGATAGTCCTCTGGAGCGGTGTCATTCAGGTATTTGGTTCGAACGCGGCCACCTACGTGGTCGGTGGATTCCATAATATGCCAGTTCTCCATGCCTACTGACTGCAACAGAAGACTTGTAAACAGACCCGACATTCCAGCACCGATGATGGCGACGCTTTTACTCTTGGCTTCGGCTGCGACTGTTGCGGAGATGTTCCTGGACTCCATGAAAGCAACACCATCGAACCAAGGGCCATCCACATCAGCAACATCGGAGATGGTTTGTCTCTTCCGAAGGGGCTTGGCCATACCAATGGGGTCAGATCGCCCGATCAGTGTTGTACCTGAGAAGGCATGCAGGCATCCATTGTGGATGGCATCATTAGGTACGATCCATACGAATCGATCCGGATGAGCTTCCCGCTTAACGAAGGTGACTCCCACCTCATGATGGCCGTGATGGAACTCCTTTAAGTCGCAGTCTCCATGAACGAGACGGAGCTCTCCTTCAAACAAATTGTCCGAGAATTCGATATGAATGTTGTGCACCGAATCCGATTCTGCCCTGAAAGGACCTTTGAACCTTACAGTTTCGGGCACATTGATCACAGGTGATGCACTCCCCAGTTGGCTCAGGAGCAGACTTGCTCCTGCTATTGAGAGGAAACTTCTCATGGCTAAAATTTGGCGATGCAAGACCAGCAGGGGCTCTACGAATTGAGTTGAAAGAGCCTGAAGCACGAAACCCCGGCAGTCTCAGGAAGCCTCTCAAAGATATATACGCTGTACTCAATCCATTTGCCGCTCTTTGCTCCACATCAAGGTTTTGACGACTAATGGTATCTACCAGGACTTATCTTGCACATATTTGCTGCTTGAGCCGTCGTTTTCGCGAGCCTATCTTCCCGCCTGCTAGACGGCTCACAAGAAATGGCCGGCCCGAGGTAGTTGGCCGTCGTATCGCGGCGCAATACGCGGTATCGAGCGTTGTATCGATTTGCCCGTTCTGGCGCGCTTACACCAATCCCATGGTCAAGAATTCCTCTTATCAGGATCCGGTACGAACCAGGTCGAATGACCATGCCTCAGGTACAGGCACCAGTTATCTCCACATGGGCTGCAATGCTTCGTATACCACGTGTACTGTCACGAGGACTGAGCATGTTCAATCCAATGAGTGTGCTGATCGACATGACAAAATGCATATACCGCTAGCTTGACAAGCCATAATGCCAAGACCGGACAAGAGCGGTTATGGGGTTCCAGCCTCGCGCACAAGTGGGGGGGATCCATATATTGTTGACATCAATGGCATAGTTCCTTATCTTTATGCACGATAACGCACAAAATGCATTCCCGCTTCTTCGTTTCCAAGCATTCTATCCCGGCGATCTCCCAGCGGTCGAGGCAGTAATGTGCTTCGACGAGAACACTTGACTTTGTCACCTTCCTGAATCAGCCATCTTCATGATACTTGCAGTGACTCCATTTTTATCGTGCCTCTCCGTCCAAGAATCTCTACATACCAAGGACGCGGATCCCCCCATATACGTACATCTTGGCTGTCTTGGTTAGCAAGGTTACATCCCGGTTGCACTTCAGGCATCCTACCTCACCTGCATTCCGGAATACGCAAAAATGCGAAGAGGGATCCATTGAGATCCATTTCTCACCGAACCTCGGTCGAGGATACCATCATCTCAGGTCGCGAGATAGATCAGCGATACCCTTCTGATCTTCCGGCTTTACCATGATAAACGACCCATTCCCTGAAAGGCTGACACAATCTTGCAGTCTTAATCTACCCCAGATCTCCACCTAGAAAGAAATCTGGGGTCATTCGCTAGATCACAACACACATCTGGGACATTCCGGTGGCCACCAATGGTGTCTACAGAAATGCCATTTTAATCGAGATGGCGGCAAGCCACTCGCATCTGCCGTTATCTGGAGTGCTTGGACGACTGTTGTCGCTGCAGGTAGAGAAAGATATCTCTGCCGCAAGCCTCCGAACTTCCAAGAAGCCAAGACAACTAAACCTCTCGACAGTGAATCCAAGAACACCCCACATACTCCACTGGAAAGGCGTGAGACCCTTTTTACGCCCTTGCATATGGATTCCTGCCTAACAAGTTGCCTATCTAATTGGAGAATTGATGTTTCTTATCTGTGGAGAACTCTATCCATATTGCTTGCATCGTTCACCAAGCATGCGCCTCACGCGAGCTCCATCAACGACTTTGCCATCGTTCTATAGCCACATTTGTAAGCTACGTCACTCCATCGACCCGATCGATCAGGTTGAACTCTCAGCACAAGGTTCCTTATTTCATATTCACCTCGCCACAAATCCCACCGGATCCTTGGCTACAGAACTCTAGGGAACAGATGGACGATCAGAGAACATCCAACTATTGAAGTTGCCCCCGCCCGAATCTAGGCAATAGCCAGGGTCGACATGAAAGATAACGAAATCTTGTGCGTAAACGAAACGACTCATGACTTGATCGATGACAAAACGCCGGAGACATTGTTGTAGGTCACCTTGAGTTTCTTGGTACCCAAAAGCTTCCCAAGATGTCTTCAGGGTAGATTGAGCTATAAAATCTGGCCTGTGGACTTCGCCGTTAGGTCGACTTGATCAATTGCTCCAGCTTGGAAACCCGGTATCAGTAATTTGGGTCCTCACGTTCGCTGCATCTCCATTCAATATCAGACAATTCGTTGTTCACCACACAAGATGCAATTCACACATGCCTTAACGGCGGTCGTCGCCATGATCGGCCTGGTTGCCGCAAAGCCAGTTGACATGGAGCTCGAGAAGAGAAATGCCACCACGCCCGTCACATACCTCGGATCCCAGAGCCGAATCCTTTGTAAGTTTGCATTGACAGAACCAAACCATGCCCAAGAAAAGCCCTGCTAACACATTCTCTTCTCTACTCATAGCCGGAGGTGCCACCGCAAGAGGTCTCGTCTACACTGCTGGTGTGGTGCCCAGTCTCAACGGCAGCATTGTCGAAGGAGGAATCCGCAACGAAACGGTAAGTGACTCATGACAACGCAATCACTATCGAGGTCGTCCTCTAAGTTTTATTTTTTAGGCACAAGTCATTGCCAACATCGCCGCGATTCTCGAGGAGGCCGGCACGTCCTGGGAATACGTTCTCAAGACCACCGTCTACCTCGCTAACATGAGCGACTATAGCGCGATGAACGAGGTCTATGCTGAGTTGTTGCCCGACCCAAAGCCCGCCAGAACCGCCATCGAGGTCGCTCAGCTGCCGGGTAACTTCTCCATCGAGGTCGAGGCCATTGCCGCTGTGCCTCACTACTAGAGTTAAAGGCTATATCATAGCATGAGAGTCCGAGTGACCATTCATAATTACCCAGCTACAGAAGTGAAATTACCTCCAAAATGCCGACATGATAGAGTCGTGGAGTGGTAATAGAGAGGGGGAGGTTGTACATAGAGTGCATAATAAAAGAGAAAAGTTACCTCCTATGATCATATCTAAGCATCCATCCTTCTGTGGATATACAGCCAAAGTGTCCATTTCTTCCTCTGATGAAATTGACCTGGACGTGGGAAGAAATGAAAGTTGATCGACCACTCAAGCTTTTGGATCAGAGACTACTGAGCCAACAGTCCCAAGTCCTGAGGTCCTAGTAGAAACGATCACATAATCATCTAGGCATCCACTGTTGTTCTTCACGATCGACAGGGGAGTTTCAACAGTAGACTTCCGAACCGTGAAATATCATGCAAGGAACAAAGTCGCATGGGGAATCCCTGGCTGCCACGCTACATGACATGAAACGATGTGACCGTCAGGGATGAGTTTAACATGAAGAATGCAGATCTTGATCCCATGTGGTTCCATCCTCGTCAACACGACCGATTGGACCACAATCAACAAGATGTGGAGGACACCTGGGAGACATGGGCCGAGACAAGAAGAGATCCTATTGGAAAACGAGAGAGAATGTTTAACAGATATGAGTGTTACGGGTATCATTCATCTTTTTCCAGTAGCCACTCAGAAGAACGAGCTACTGCTAACTAGGCGCACGCGAGCAAAGGCGAAGGCCAATCAATTGTAGAGTTTCGTTCCTCAACGCGTCGTCCTTGTTCGTCATCTATTTTCTTCTTTCTTCTTTAGACCTTTGTCTCTTCGACTACCCCCTGGGGCCTTCCCTCCTTTGTCTCTTCGACTACCCCCTGGGGCCTTCCCTCCTTTGTCTCTTCGACTACCCCCTGGGGCCTTCCCTCCT